AACAGGACATGCTATGCTGAGACCCTGCAGCTGTACAGAAAAAATATGAATTTTAGAGTGCTCTAGCTGAAACCTCTTCGGTGATTTACTTGCATACATGTTAGAAAAAAAGTTATATTACTTGTACATTTTTCATCATGTAATGTTTTGATAACAATAATAATAATAATAATAATAATAATAATAATAATAATAATAATAATAATAATAACAATAACAACAACAACAATAATAATAATAATAATAATACATTTATATAGTGCTTTTCACAATAAGACAAACATGCTTCACAAAAAAAGGACAGACAAAACAGTAGCTGTCATGTGTGGGGGCTGTAGGCTGTGAGGAAAAGGTGTGTTTTGAGCAGTTTTTTGAAGGTGTTTAGTGAGTCTGAGTTTCTGATGTGAAGGGGGAGAGAGTTCAGAGGGTGGGGGAGGCGATGCCAAAGACTCGGTCCCCCAAGGTCTGGTGCTTTGATTTGACTGTGGGAGTGAGAAGGTTAGAGTCAGCTAATGGGAAGTGGTAGGAGGGATGGTGGGGCTGGACGAGGTCTGTGACGTATGGAGGGGCCTGGTTATGAAGAGCTTTGTAGGTGATCAGGAGGATCTTGAAACTGATGTGCTGTTGGATGCGGAGCCAGTGGAGTTGTTGCTGAATGGGGGTGATATGGTCTCGTGACTGGGTGTGGTTCGGGGGGCAGGCGGCGGAGTTTTTAACAGATCGAAGTTTTTTAAGGTCAGTGTAGCGAAGTCTGTAAAGGAGGTTATTACAATAATCAAGTCTGGAGGTGATGAAGGCATGGATGAGAGTTTTGGAAGCAGAGGGGGAAAAGCGAAGGTGGGCGATGTGTGGTCTGAAGATGAAAGGGTGGGGTTGAAGATGAATCCAAGGTTTCTGACCTGAGCTGAGGAGGTGTCTGTGTGGCCATCTATAGTGATCTCCTCCCCTGATTTGGGACAGATAATGATGATTTCAGACTTGTTGCAGTTGAGTTTGAGGAAACTGGTGGCCATCTAGGAGCTTATGACAGAGAAGCAATTTGAGAAGGTGGAGGTAGTAGTAAAGGTGATGTTTTTTTTTTTGGAGGAGAGATAAAGCTGAGTGTGAAATTAAATTTGAGTCCATGCTGGCGGATGATGTGACCAAAGGGAAGCATATAGAGAATGAAGAGGAGGGGACCAAGCGCTGAGCCTTGAGGGACTCCATAGGTAACCGGTGTGATGTGAGATGAACAGTGAGATGAAAATGAAGTGGGATCAATTGGAGAGTTAGGAGGTGAACCAGGAGAGAGAAGAACCGGTGAAGCCAATGGCGTGAAGATGGTGGAGGAGAAGGAAGTGATCAGTGGTGTTATTTTATGTATAAAAATGTCCAAATTCACACATGTTGCACATAAATCTAAAAAAAATGTTGAGTCAGGCTTCATTTTGTTGACATATATTAAAAAAAATATTTCGCCACATTTTTTTACTTAAAACTTAGAATTAGATATCAACAAATCTTCCTGTCTGATATGTCAAAAATGTGTTAAGTACAAGACTGGACAGTTTGGTGTATGCAGGTGCCACTTTAAGGTTTGACCTGTATGTCCATATGGAAGAAAATGCACTTTAGGAAAACAGCTTAGAAGTTACAGTATCCCTCATAACATTATGGATGGAAATTGAGTACATTAAATAATAAAATATATTTAGGTGCTGATTGGACAATGTTGTTATTTCCAGGCAAAAGCTTGTTGAGAGAGGAAACAAACAAACTGACAAAAAGATGTGCTTGTTTTGTCTCACCTTAAATGAGCAGAAGAGAAATGGCACTAATTCTCACACTTCACAACAATATCTGCATTTACTTCAACAAGTATACACCTTTTCTGGACACAAAAGAGATCCAAATGACCAGATGTAAACACGTCACACTCTGTGCCTCTGGCAGACAAGATGTGAGTCTCTGCACCCTATGTGCTCTCTGCATGGCTGCATTAGCACCTGGGCCGACTGTCCCAAACCTGAAATAGCAAAGGACCTTGGCCAAACTTTTCCCTCAGCCAAATCTCATTCTTTTGTTATCTTTAGCACTGGCCGTTAGTCTCCATACATCACTTCCTTATGCTAAAATAGGGGTGGGTGATATAGTGATGAAAATCGAATCTGATCTTATCCCTGTGACAATCTGCTATTTTGGTGAAATGATTCAGTATTTTTCTATTCAGTGCACCTGTGTGCTCAAACACAAACACATGGTTTTGCTCCTACACAACACAGTGATCTGCATGATAACATATAATGGAATACATATCAAAACTGTACATGGCTCAAGTGTCCTAAAGCCAGGAGCATATAACCTGTGATTCAACTTTTCGCCTGGATAAACATGAGAGACCCTTCCATCTGATTTCACTCTTTCATTCTGTCACCAGGGCTGCCTTAGCTGCCTTACACACATCTCTCCAACTCCTCAGCCTGGACTTTTCTCCCTCACTTACTTTCAATTAGTCCTCTTGTCCATGCCTTATCAAGGGACTCTAAATCCACCAGCTCTCCTCTTGCATCCTCCTGTTCCCATTTCCTTTTGATTGCTGTGGTTTGCAGACAGAATACTTCCCATCATTTGTTAGGGCCCATCCTGTGACTCTGTGACACATAGCTGTGGGGGCTTCACCTTCTCATTGTGACAATGTGCACAGTGCGGTTCTGTCATCCAGCCAAAGCTATTTCAGTGGCTTGTTTGTAAATTGTTTTGAGTTTGGTATAGGGGCCACAATATGGAAAATTCAATCAAAACAATGACTATGTAGAATATATTATATATATATATATATATATATATATATATATATATATATATATATATATATATATATATATATATATATATATATATATATATATAATATATATATATATACACATATATTACAATAAATATTTTATGTATAATAAAATATTGAATACTTCCACTCTTGAATCAAACTGTATTAAATTCAAACAATTTTGGAGACATTTTTGACTGAAAATATATTTTAGTCAAGATTCCAGTCCATATGTGACAGTTACATAGAAACAAATGTGTGCATGTTAGTGATGGACTGTGTCAGTGTCATTTGTGATTCAAGTTTCAAGTTTCAGTGACAGTCTCCAAAAACAGCCCGAGGCTTGGCTCAGAGCAAAGGGTTCACCTACTGTCCACTGTGCCACATTTAAAAAACATTGCCTACTTTTTTACGTGAGGATACAAGACTATGCACTTAGGGCTGTAAGTTGAGACACTATACTGTCTACATAACATTAACTGCTTTAAATAAAAGATGTGACGTATGCGCTGCAAGGTTAATCACAACAGAATAGCAATTTGAATGCTCAATTTGCAAATCACAATGGTAGCCCAATGTGTATGAACTGTAAACCATGTAGTTTAGAGTTTAAACCTCTCAAATGTTAACCTTGTGTTTAAAATGAGCAGCACTGAAAAGAAAATTGCTAATCTAATTGCAATATGTCAGAAACTCACAATTAGCTACAGGCTATAATGCTGCCCTATGTAATGTCCAAAGGGCAATGTCCAATGACATCACTGTGTCAGTTGTCCAGTCTGTAGTAAGACCCAGAATTACTAGTCTGGGTTTCATTCACCACCAGAATGATTTCAAGTGAAGAAAAGCATCAGTTCACATTTGCCCCAGCATGTAGATACACAATAACATACAACACAGTGCCCATATGGAGACTATTTTAGTTGGCATTGAACGTGTGAGTCTAAATTAGGGCAACGTCATCCTTTGTGACCTTCCTATATAGAGCAGACAGGCTTCAGCTGTGAACAGAAGCAACAAGATAGTCACATAGATATGTGTCCACAGAAACAAGCAAATATACCATATTCATATTCATCTTCATTAAAATATCATAGTCCAAATATTGAACAATGAGGAATACGGGTCACATAATTAAACTAAATTCCACAGCACATCTCAAGGGTGCACTACGTAACTACTGGCTTATATATATATATATATATATATATATATATATATATATATATATATATATATATATATATATATATATATATATATATATATATATATATATATATATATATATATATATATATATGATAATAACTAAATAAATACATACATAAATGTATTGATTAAATAATTAACTAACATGTGCTTATTTTTAACACACATGATTTGAAGGTAGATTGTAGCATTTAAAAATATTAGTACGTAAGTAATTAGTTCTGTCTGTTCTGCCCCCTGACCATCTCAAATTTGAACAAAATTGCCCTCGTCTTAAAATGAGTTTGACACTTTGAAATAAAGTGATAAAAGAAAAAAGTCAACCTGGGTAGTACAGTGCCTCCCACAGGAAGAACAAAACTTAATATTCATTACTAGCTCTCTCCCATTAGTTAATAAAAAAACAGCATAAGAGACGATGAGGTCAGGATTGTGGCTGTGCTTGTGTACACTAGAGAATGATCCTTGTACCTTTTACTGCCTGTTATTGCTGCTCATAAATCCCAATCTAGAGCTTGGATTTCTTGGTCTGACAAACTTTGATTAGTCACACACCCAATCACAACCCCCCTACTTTAAGATTACATACTGAGGGCGGCGTATGCTTGACACGCAACGCGGTTACCTGGCAATGTTATTGTAAATGTGCTCTTCCTGATCAGAATAGGTTTCATAAATTATAATCAGAGCACACTTAAGGGGCTGTGACTGTATTCTCTGCATAAAGATAAGGGCACAGAGCTGGGTGCTCTGGTGCTTATGGCTGTTGGATTTGCATTCCTCCTTTTTACGCAGACTGCTCGGATTATGTTATTTGATGTGTCTAAAAACGTTTACAAGAGAAATACAGGTAAATTTAAGCACTTAATACAGTGTGGTTTTTCACTAAGTTTTATTAGTAGTAACGCTAATAGTAACACTTTATTATGTCTTTTTCAGTGACAGAAAAGATATCTGTGTGATACTGGCCTAAAAAAAAATGGAGGAGTTGAAAACAAGAGGAAGGAACCGAGAAGATCGGCACAAGTAGGTTACGAACTTTTTAGATGAACAATGTATTTTACTGTAGAAGCTGCTACCTTGTCACTGTATACTAACTAACATGTGGGACTGATCTGCTCTCAACTGTCTAGAGGCAGAATAAATCATGTTTTTTTTTTTTTTTTATAAATATTGTTTAAAAAACAACCTGTGGAAACATTTGAGATGATTAGCTACAGATTGCTATAATTTTGGTTGATGGTTGGTTGGACATTCCTTTACATAAATCATGTTTACATTTGATTAAAATTGATATTCTGTTAGGTCATAGTTTATATTTATTTTTAATAACTCAGAAAAAAAAAATCTTAAAATACTGTGAAAAAGCACAATTGGTGCTCTCACTTTTCAATGCATACCAGTTCGTGTGACAATGTTATTGATCATTTATTTTTATTGGATCTGTATCCATCCAAGCAATAAAGTATTGCATTCCTAGATTTCAATTTGAAGCCATTTTACAGCTTAAAGGAAATAGTTAATTTCCCCTGTGTACTTCTCACTTTTGTTCCTTATTGCTCTTGCTCAGTGATATCCCTCCATCACAGACTACATTATAACAGCACTTTTCTCACTCAAATGTTTCAGCCATAATAAGCACAAACTATTGATGGTAAATAGCAGAGCAATCTGACTTATTGATTGAATTAAAAATGAGTCCACTAAAAATATTGGGAATATGGGAGAAATGTACAAGTCACAAATATAGATTTCCGATTTGAAAATTCAATAGCCTTAAGTAAGGAATAGTATATATTAAGACTCTATAGTATTCAAACGGTAATCAACAGTGTCAGTATTATATATAATATATTGTCCTTGGTCCAGGTATGTCATTTGCAAAACAACACCACAATTCTGTATACATTAAATAGTTTTTAAATAAACTTGTTTTTGTTCCAAACTAAAATGCCCCACCAAACAGTCTAATAAAAAGTTATAATTGAATGTTATAAGTTAGTGGTTCTGTTTCAGTTTACATAAGCTTGCCATAGAGGAAAGATTCAGCCATATAGCTGTCATATTTATTGATAATTGTTATGGTTCTGAATCAAAGATCACTGCTGTGTTATCCATTCAGAAGTCCACACCCTGATACCTTTTCCAGTTAATCACCAGTGTGACATATACTGGATCATGAAGTATTATTTTAAGTCCACTGTCCACATTGTGTACTGCAGCCACTTCATAATTCTCTTTATAGAGCTAATAAAAATTACAATCATGAGGACGTGTCATCAGGCCTTGACAGTATTAATCAATAGTCAACTAGTTATGACTAGAAAAAATATAACAGGCATATTATAATAATTTAAAATGTTCACATCAAAAAAGGATAAACAGATTTTCATAAAAAAATAAAATAAAATAATATTAAATTAATAGAAAACAATATTTAATATTATTAAGTATTATATTTAGAAGCCTTTAGTCAGCATATTTCAAAATACATTTGGATAATAACATATTTTAAAACTCACTGTACAACAAAAAAGTAGTTTGACTAGTTGACCTACTGTAGTAAAGTACATGTTTACACAGGGCATAGGGCAGGGAGGGGGTCTCAGTCTGTAAAGTGCATTTTTCATGAGGAGAGCATGTTGTGAAGGCCTAGAATCCCTGCTACTATCCATTTTGGCCATTTGAATTTTTTACGATTCAATTTAATCACCTGTGATATGATACTTTTTGCTGTTCAGTTCCCGATTCCTTTTCCAGACATAAAACCAAATGTAATGTAACTTTATAGTTTTTATGGCCCAGGGTGTTATTGTACCAAAACTTTAGACCAACTCTTGGGCTAGTAAAAAAACATAGAGTGTAGGTTTTGAAAAGGACCAGAGTAGCTTATGAGTGAAAAAGGTTGACATCAAGCTCAGGTGGTTAAAGGTGCATTCATTATGCAACTTTTCTGGCTGTCACCTGCTTATCTTCATGGGTATGTTACTGGTCATATTACAGGTCAGATCTGTGGAGAGGCAATATTCACAAATATATCTTATTTTTGAGCAATAGAACACATATAATTAATAAATGCTAGATAGATGCGTTTAATATCGTATCACTGAACATTCCAGGTGAAGAAATAACATCTCCATGGAAACAAGTGGGTAACAGATCCTCCACCAGAAAAGCTGCGCAATGCACCTTTAAGTGTGAATAATAGTGTGTTGTTATTTTTTTTCCATATATATTTCATTTGTTAATGTATTTATTTTTTTCTTATTTGTGTTTGTCTTTTGCCTCAGAGGAACATGGGATCCGTTCCTCTTGAATCCGGCAGGAGCAGAGAAGGAGCAGAAAAGGACATGTTTCCGACTAGCCCAATATTTAGTGACAATATTAGTGGGCCTGGCTGTTTTGACCACTGCTGTTCTAGCAAAGGTACCATTACGCTTTAACGCTGTATATTAAAACCTTTGAACCTGGACTATGAACATGACTCGGCTTCTGAGACTTTCTGAGGGTTGCTACCTATTTAGAATTTATTATTATCATTTATATATCTTTTTCTCTTTGTTATTATAAGATTTTGTGATGTGTGAACTACTGTGTCCAAATAATTTCCCTTATGGATCAATGAAGTTTATCTACCTCTAAATCAAAATTCCAGCAAACACAAATATTAAGCAGAACTTCATCATTTTTTCACAATCAAAAATGCAAAACCTCACTTGACACACAGTAAATCTTAAATTACTGCTTTTGACAAAATTCCTTGCCATAAATTGAAAAAGTTACAAAAAAAAAACAAAACAGAACTAGTACATTTTCTTCAGTTTCTAAGCACTTTCACAACTCCAGCATGGACAACTAACAACTAGCATGCTAACGTGAACGTTCCAATTATCTGACAATAAAGTCCTTTATAATTAGATGCTGGCTGTACACAAAGGACTTAATTTGACCTCAAAAGCTTATACAATATCATCTATACTGGGGAAAGACATAAAGCTCAATTACATGGGAAAAAAAATCTGGTTCAGGGCCTTTAAAATAATACATTCTCCATAGCGGTAGATACGTTTCGTGCCAAATGGTTGTGGTGATGGTGCAGTTTGAATTTGTTTCTTGCACCACGTTAGAAGTCCGCAAAAATGTAACTGTTCCATTTTATTTATTGTTTGCTGTTTGAAATATGCTATAAAACACCTGAAACAATCAAACAGACCTGTATTTTGTTTTTAAACCCCATAATGATATGGTTTTATAATGTGTTCTCACAGGGCTCATTGCTGGTGCTGTCCACTTTGTCCAGTCCCACCTCAATGCGCAGCAAACAGGAGAAGCAATTCTATATGCTCATGTTAGTCTTTGTCCTCGTCTGTCCTAACCTTCTTGTGTTCCTCAAGTCTCTGTGGAGATGTGCCTTCAAGAGTTTTGTCCGACCAAACTTCAAAACTATGTCCATTGTAAGTTTCTCATTAAAGGAGACATATTACGCAAAATCATCTTAAATAATCATAAGCTTACTTAAAGGTGCAGTGTGTAACTTCTTGGTTGGGGGTCTGTCACTTGCTTGTTTCTATGGATAAGTCACTGTTAGGCCTGGAATGTTCCACAGTATGGCATTAAACAGCTCTATTTTACATTTATTAAAATAAAGGTGGTTTTATAGCACAACCATTCCTCAAAAAACTAAAACAAAAACAGGCTTTCTGACTTGACTGTGAGAGGGGTTGTCTTTCCACAGATCTGACCTGTAATTTAGCGTGGTTTGGTCTCCACGAAGATACAGAGTTTTAATACCATACTGTGAAACATTCCATACAAAGCAATAACATCTCTATGGAGAAAAAGTATGTTGGGCTCTTCACCAGAAAAAGTTACACAATGCACCTTTAAGGTTGGATTTTGACTGATTCAGGTATGTCTGAGTAAAGCTGTATTGTCTTGCCTCTATTCCTGTACATGAAAGGTTCTAAAATGTCACATAGCCAAACAAAATATAAAAACTGGTCAATTAAAATCCACTGCTTGCTACAATGAAATGCCACTATGAAGAGGTTGGTCCTATCAGTCTGTGGACCCACTTATATCTTAGAGATGTTTTAGATCAATATTTTAATGTACAATGAAGAATATGTAAAATTATGCAATATTCAATAAGTACAATAAAAAAACGTATATGGTGAACTAACAAACCCACTTCTGCGTCATCAGATTTGTGCCATTGAGTGCCTGGTGTCTCTGGGGACCTCCATCCTGGTGCTGGTTGTCATGCCTAAATTTGATGTTCTGACTAATCTTTTCATCAGTGGAGGAGTATGCATTGTGTCCGCAGTCCTACAGATCATTTTCAGACTTCAGGCCGAATCTTGGAAATTGATCTTCCCAGTTTGCTCCCTGATTCTCACAGTAGCAGGTAGGGGTGGGCAAAATCGACAAAAAATATGATCTCAATATTTTGGGGGATTATCTTTAGATGACCTGATGGCAGTCATTCAGACATTTGCTCAAATGTGCCTGTAAATTAATAGACTACAATTTATAATATAATTTGCATTTAATTTATATTTGTTCATATTAATTTCATTCACAAATCCACAGGCTACTGTCTCTTGGGCATTGACTACTATGCCCGTGTAACATCATTCGTGGACAGACAGGGTGATGACTGCTACTTTTACATTGTCATGGGCATTTTGTCATCGCTGCTCATCTCCCTCTGCTGGTGGGAAAATTCACTGCAAGCATCTAACCGTATGCAGGTAAATGTGAATAGTTTTAACTTAAATACTGCATGTAATATACTTGAAGTAAAGTTACAGCTTACTAGTGTGCTGCTAGTAAATATTCATTTACTGTGTATTTTCAGGACAGACTGCGTGAGTTGGAAGGATTTCGGGACTTTGTGTACTGTATCAGCAGTCTTCTAAGGATAATAGTTATAGGTCATTATCTGCATTTAAACAACCAGTACACATTACTGTCTGTGATCCATCCCTAAGTCTGCACAATTTGTTTACTGTGGATTTCAGGAGGTGTGTACCTGCTCTACCATTATTTCATTGCCAAGACAATAGTTTGGAAAGAGTTTGTAATAGAGAAAGCTGACGGGCAGCTGCTGCAGACTGGACTAGGACTGTTATTCTTACAGGTAAAGTCAAGGAGCCTTAATGTTTGTGTGTCTATCAATTATCTGCAATTTACAACTGAACTTTTGTCTAGGCCTGCTGTGCAGCTGCCTGCCACTGGTTTGGTGTAGTGGCCTGCAAAATTCATGCTGTTAGACTGAGTTTTGCTCTGCCAGTGTGCTGTACAGGTCCTGTTGTGCTTTTGTTGGGACTTGTATTGTTCATGACTGAGTCCAAGTCATTGACTGAAGTAGAAAAAGGGAACATCACAGGTGGGTTTCTGCAAAGATGCACATTAATGAAAGACAGAGAAAGAGGCTTTATGGCTATATAGGTTAACTGGACTACTGAGTATTCCAAAATATAAATGTAGTTTAAAAGTGTCTCTTTTACAGAGTTTTGTGAAAGCCTTGAGCTTGTCACGCACAAAAACGCAACTTCAATTATACTGCTCGAGGTCATCAGGAGTATTTGCCGCACATCACTGAACAGGTACCTAAAAATGCACTTGAAAATTGGCACTATGCATGGATATTCAATTTAGAATGCTTATATTTTATTGTTTTCCCACTATAGTTATTATGACCAGTGGCCGTTTGCTATGCTGGTTATGGAGGGGTTGTGTATGTGGTCTGGATTCGTCACCTGCACTTACTATGTGTGGAAGATAAAGGTAAAGCACATACGCATTAGTTGCCATTGAACGGCTTTTGTGGCAAAACATACTGCAATACTACAAAAACCTAAACTTGTGTAAAACCAAAATCAGGTCCAGCGCATAGAGAGAACATCACAGCTCTTTGTGCGAAGACTGTACGAATCCTGCTTCATTGACCTCTCTCTGTTACTCAACACTAAGATGAAGGTGGCAAGAACTGAAAACCAAGAGAGGTAAAGAAAAAGTGTAGTATACGGTATATTGTGTCGTTTAGTAGAGTATCTACAAATTACCACTTAATTCCATTTCTCCTAAACAGCTCGGACGAAATACAGAACTGTGTAATCTACCTCTGTGCAACTATGTGGCATGAAACCTACGATGAGATGCTAAAGATCATAACATCAATGTTTAGGTATGGTATAAGCAACAAACAAATGTGTGTGTGTTAATTTTACCTTTCAAATAATAATCATCAATGGTAATACGATTTGTTTCAGGCTGGATCGATACCGAGGCGATCCAGGAAAGCAACACAATGACTGCTTTAACTTCGAGTGTCACGTATTTGTGGACGATGCCTTTATGACTGAAAAGGAAACGGGAAAAAGATTGGTTAATTCTTACGTCAGTGACCTGGTTAATGTTGTCATTGAGGTTTACAGGTGAGATAGTTATTTACTAGGGCTTCAGTCAATTAGAGAAATCCACCAAAAACATGAATAGGCTGCAAGAGGGTGATGCATTACCACAGACTGTATACACAAATGAACATAGCAACACGCAACCCACCACATTCCAAATACGAAATTTGCTTGCAGGCGCTTCCGGCTCCTACTGACCCTGTCTCCCATTGACTTACATTGGAATATTGTCACCCACTCTCTCTCTAACTGTTGTAATGAGCCTCATCATTTTGGTATTCAAATGTTTGTATTAACCTGCTCTACAAGATCCTGGTGTTTTTTTCCCACTATTTCGTCCTTTAAAAAAATCCTATTCCTAATATATAGTCTGGCTCCAAATTCGCTCCTGCAACTGCTAGCTTGGCGAGCTTCATTTGAATAGTGCTGAACACTACACACAAGATTACAAGCTCATAGAAGTTTTCTAGAGAAAAGTATTCATAATCTGTATATTTACATGAATTGGGGAGAATAAATTGTCACCAGACATTGCAAAATCTCCCACTAATCCACTTCATGTTCCCCATATAATTTTTTAATGCTTCAATAAAATTATTAGTTGACTAATAAAAATGTCAATAAACCATACCAGAATTGCCAGATTAATTAAATGACAAAGGCTTATTCATCAGAGAGTGGTATGTTTGCCGTTACACAGAGTATTCACTCACAAAGAGCCAGATGACGTGTCAATCATTGAGACTCCGTATGGAGGCAGGCTTATGGTCGTGCTGCCACAAGGAAACCTGTTCTTGGCTCACCTCAAAGACAAGAGTCTCATCCGGAACAAGAAGAGATGGTCACAGGTATACATGCTCACCTCTTCTTACAAAAGTGCTTTCAGCATATCTTTACTAATTATATTAATCTTTTTCAGATTATGTATTTATATTACCTGCTTGGATGGAAGGGTTATGTTGACAAGAATCCTCAAAAATTAAAAGTAGGGGGGATTTTTTTTTGCTGATATAAATGTATTTATTTTCTTTGTTTCATCTAAAAAAAAACACTTCTTTTCAGTACAAGAGAGAAAGCATGCAATCATTGGATCGTGAATCTGAATTTTCAAACATATATATCATGCGTCAAGAAGATATTGAGATCTACAATAGGAAGAACATTTCAGATGAAAACACTTACATCCTGGCTTTGGACGGAGACACAGATTTCCATCCTAAAGCTGTGATTCTTCTTGTAGACAGGTACAGTTTATCAGTTTATTATTATTTAAGTTTTTTGTTAAATGGTTTTGTTTCATACATTTCATATTGCACTTTATTATTAACAGATTACGTATGTATGATAATGTTGGTGCAGCCTGTGGCAGGATTCATCCAACTGGAATGGGTAAACAGTGGAATGATTTTATTATTCTTTACTGTTTGTTGTTTATTATACTGGAATACTATCACTTATAGGTCCAATGGTATGGTACCAGAAGTTTGAGTATGCGGTGGGCCATTGGTTACAGAAAACAGCAGAACATGTGTTTGGCTCTGTGCTGTGCAGCCCAGGCTGCTTCAGTCTCTTTCGAGGCTCAGCTCTAATGGACGACAATGTACTGAAGAGGTACACCACCAAAGCCTCGCGAGCCTCAGAGTATGTGCAGTATGACCAAGGTATGTGCCACTTACAGTTTGAATTTCTTTAAAACTTTATCTTATTGATAATACTTTGTATTATTCCTTGTAGGGGAGGATCGTTGGCTGTGCACGTTATTGTTGCAGCAAGGATGGCGTGTGGAATACAACGCTGCATCAGATGCATACACAAACTCACCCCAAGAGTTTAAAGAGTTTTATAACCAACGAAGAAGATGGGGCCCATCTACATTAGCAAACACACTTGATCTTTTACACAGGTTTGTCATGCTAAATGACTCCTCATCAAGATGTTTTTGTGTAGAATATCACTCAGTGGTTTTTAACCTGTGGCCCAAATTGCAGTGGTTCAGAGACAGTGAAAAGAAACACATCCATCTCGAGGCTTTACATTTTTTACCAGATGTTCACTGTTGGCTCCTCTATTCTTGGACCAGCCTCTGTGACTCTGATGATAGCAGGTACGCCCATGTTGCAATAGTGAAGCCAGAGTAAAGCATTTATTTGAAACATATTTTACCACTATTTTGATTGACAGGTGCTTTTCAGTTTGTTTTCCAAATTACTGGAACAATCTCCATCATCATAGCAAGCGTTCCCCCTGTGTTCTACATCCTCATCTGCTTTATCACTAAAGCCAACACCCAGATCACCATTGCTGGGATAATGAGTGTCCTCTACGCTTTTCTGATGATAGCTTCTTTCTTCTCTATCATTGGTCAGTACAATTACAGTTGGTTAAGTTACTTTAAGTAGTACTTATTGTACTATTTTCTAATCTGTTATTGTTTTGACATTACAAACTTATTTGTTTCATTCACACATTTAAAACACAAACCCTGCATATCTCACAAACAGAAAACACTCTCTTCTCCCTTGTGATGTCATGTGGTAATACAGGAAGTGCTCCACTCTGGGTTTTTTTGTTTGTTTTTTTAAATCATTTTTTGTTTTTGTTTTTCAATTGTACAAAACAAAACAAAACAAACACAGAAGAGAAGAGTGCCATTACAATCGTTAAATGAAATATCAATCAAGATGTATTTACGCTATTCATTTTCAGATAAAGTCCAATCTGATAGGTTTCACATACTCAGTCCATTTCGTCCATGTTTCATAAAATAAGTCCCTTTGGTTCCGGAGGGAGAAAGACAGCTTTTCCACCACATAAATTTCAAAGACTATTTCTATCCACTCCTCTATTGATGGAGGATCCACCCTCAGCCATTTTCTTGTGATGGCTTTTTTGCTTGCTACAAGTAGGACTGCTAATAACTTTTTATCATCATTTCCCCAATTCTGGACATAACATCTCCCAAGTATATACACTCGAAGGTAAACATCAATTTAGATCCAAAAACATGGTTTATATGACTCCAAATCTTTGACCAATAAAATTTCAGAATAGTGCAATCCCAAAAAATATGATAGTGGTTCACCCCAGATGAGCCACAGAGCCTCCAACATGAATCCCCGTTCCCTTGGTGTCTTTTTGAATGGGTGTAATAAAAAACCTGACAATGTTCTTCCATCCAAACACTCGCCATGTATTAGATAATGTTGTCTTCCATTGTAATTGACAAATTCTTTCCCAACTTTCACTTGAAATGTTCAGATTACCTTCCATTTCCCACCTTTACCTTGTTGAATTGCTTTATGTAATTTAGATATTATATTACACTGAGACATTGATTTTGTTAATGTTAAAAAGGTCAGTATGAATCCCAAATCGCCTACACCTTTCATATTTTGGTCAAAATGATGTCTAATCTGTAAATATCTGTAAAAGTCTTTCTGATCTAATCAATTTTTTCCCCTTAATTTTTCAAAGCTCAAAAATACCCCCTTTTGGATGAAAGAGTAATATGATGTCAGACCCTTTGATATCCATGTTTTGAACATATTATCATGAGGGAAATCAGAGTCATAGGCTACCCATCTTAATATTTTTGATATTTTCTCCAGTTCACAAATTCTAAGAACTCCCTCTCAACTTTTCAAGAGGGATTCATACATAAAATCCTCTGTTATGTTAAAATTGTTTTGTAATTTTTTATCAGCCAATAGTGCCATAATTGGAATATTTTCCATCTCCATGCTTTCCACTTCTTTCCAGCTTGCAGAATAGGCTGGTAAACATAAACATACCAAAGGTCTGAGTTGAGCGGCGAAGTAATAGTCTTGAAAGCATGGGAGCCCGAGCCCACCCCTCTCCTTCCTCAGTTGCAATGTCTTATATTTAATTCTAGCTCTCTTGTTTTGCCAAATATATCTACCCAACATTCTGTCCCAACTGTCAAAATAACTGTGGTATCCAAATTGGTAAACAATTAAATAAATACAGCAAACGTGGGAGAATGTCCATCCTAACTGATTCCACTCGGGAGTGTAAATTCAGAAAAGGGATCATACTCCACCTTTGTAAATCTGTTTTAATTTTTAAGATTAATGGATCATAATTTGCGTGAAAAAGTTTAGATAAATCTCCCGTCAAAACAACCCCTAAATATTTAATGTTATTTGAGTCCCATTTCCATTTATATGCATTTTTTTATCCTGATTGGGGGTTTGTAGTTAAATTTCAACACCTGAGTTTTGTTTATATTGATTTTGTACCCTGAAAGAGAACCATATTTACACCTGCATTAGTTTTGGTAGAGATTGTGAAGGTTCAGTCAGATATATCAATATGTCAACTGCAAATAGAGCTAATTTTTGTACACCTGATTTAAGGGTAACTCCTATAATTTCTGTACTTTGTCTTATAAATTGGCTTAAGGGTTCAATAAATAAAGCAAATAAAAGTGTGGATGCTCCACAACCCTGCCGAGTCCTCCGTTCCAAAATGAAAGATTTAGTCAAATCCCCGTTAATTTTTATTCTTGCAGTTGGCCTGTTATACAGAGCAGCAACCGTGTCAATAATATTGGCATCAAAGCCAAATGTAGCCTTTACTCTGTACAAAAATTCTCATCGTACCGAATGGAATGCTTTCTCAGCATCTAAACTTATCATGAGCATTTTCAAGTTACATTTATTGACATGTTTCATAATTAATAATGCTCTTCGAATGTTGTCCTGAGTCTGCTTTTGTCTAATGAAACCAGTCTGGTCTTTATTAATAAGTTCTGGAAGGATTATCTCCAACCTTTTACATAGTATAGAAGTAAAAATTTTATAATCGATGTTAAGCACACTTACGGGACGATAACTTCCACAATCCAGTTTGTCTTTGTTTTACTTGGGGATTATAGAAGTTATGGTTTCTTTCCAAGATGGGGGTATACTTTTCTTCTCAAAAATCCAATTAAAAATCTTTATTAATGTTGGAACTAAATTTTCTTGCATTGTTTTATACCATTCTGAATTACACCCATCAGCCCCTGGATTCTTACCATTTTTCAATCTCTTAAGTGATGCTAAAACTTTTTCCTTAGTTATTTTTTATGTCAGTCTCTCGTTTTGATCATCAGAAACGTTCCGTAAGTCTAGAGACAACAAAAATTGGTCAATTTCCTCACTGTTTCCTAACTGAGGCTGAGAGTATAATTTTCTGTAGTACTCCTCAAAGCATTCTTGTATTTTGTTGAGGCAGGTCTCTATTCTATTAGTTACTGGGTGTCTAATTTTATGAACTGTCCTCTCTGCTTGTTCTCTCAATCTGTAAGAAAGAAGCTTGAACGCTTTCCCCCCTGCATCGTAGTATAGTTGTTTTGTAAAGTGGAGCTTCTTTTGAATCTCTTGTGTGTTTATAGCACCTATTTCCCCCTTCACTTCCTTTTCATTTTAACTGAATTTTGGAGCGAATTAGAGTGTTCTGTCAAAAGTTCCTTAAGTTTGACTTCTAGTGCTTCCAATTTTTGTTCTTTACGTTTCTTTAGTGTAGCCGAAATTGCTATTATTTTGCCCCGAATCACGGCTTTCAATGCATCCCATAATATTGCAGGAGGGACCACACCTTTGTCATTACTATCCAAGTATAGTTGAATTTCTTTTTTCAGAGTAACTTTAATATTGTGATCATTTAAGATATTTGAATTTAATTTCCAGAGCATAGATTTTGTTTTGTCACTTATGTTGAGTGTTAAATATACAAGTTCAAGGTCTGATATAGCCCAAGTGCCAATCTTGGACCTCACCGCTCTATACATATCACTTTTGAACATTAAGAAGAAGTCTATTCGAGAATAAACATTGTGAGCTGAGGAATAATGTGTATAGTCTCGCACTTTATGGTTATATTCCCTCCATATGTCAATTATTCCTAGTTCCTTCATAAAATTATTCACTTTTCTACTGATATTTTTAGCGTCTGATCTTCCACTGGAACTGTCCATTCTAGGATGCAATCTAATGTTAAAAGCACCCCCGCATATTGGGATGCCTTGGCATTCCTTTGTCAATGTTTCAAGTACATGTTTGTAAAATGACCAGTCACTGCCAGGTGGCATGTACACATTTAACAGACTCACCAGAGTACCATCCGATTTACCTATGACCAAGATATATCTTCCTTCCTTATCCCAGATTTGTGAGAGGAGAAATATACTTTAGAATATCCCATTTTATTCAGTTTCGCATGTTCACTATCACTCAGGTGAGTTTCCTGAATAAATGCCACCTGTGACAACATTTTTGATCTCTTAACTGGATTGAGCATGCCATTTATGTTAAATCAAATACATTTTACAAATCAGGCTGACATCTGATTGTATCAACAAATGATAACATCTTTAAGCATGGCACTCTCCTCTCTGCACAGAACAACAGAGTGTAAATCACAACAACCAAAACTGAACAAAAAACGAACTTGATTCCCTGTGCTGGGGTCAATGTAACAGACCCTCTTATGTCCCAGGGGGCGCTTCAAGGCAAAAGACCTACTCCTGTCAGCAGTGCAGGGGATGCTTGCGGCTATGTCAGTATTATAAAAACCCTCGTTGTAGAACCCTCAATATTTCAATAGTTTTACTCACACAGTCATCTCAATCTAATGCTTTTTCAATCAGAGGGAAACAAACCCGAATCCTCCCGGTTTTGTGCTTTTATTCTGCACTTGGGCCAGGTGATGTTTTCCGGAATGCGCGCAGCTTCTCCTTGTAGTTGATGTCTCGCTCAGGGTCAGGTGCATTCTTCTTCGTGCGTCGATCCACGCAAGTTCAGGTCAGCTGTTGAATCCGCTCTGTCAGTGATGCCGGTGTTGGTATGAGTTTGACTGCATATCCCCCGCTTCACGAGATCCTCCGCCGCCTCCGCTGTGTCTCACGTGCAGCCGGGCAGGAAAGAGTGTCTGAAACCGGACAGCTTTCTCTTTTAACACTTTATGGATCTCTGCATATTCTCTCCTCTTTCCAACAATGGCGAGTGGAAAGACCTGGTCCAGAGTAACCTGTTTATCTTTCCACTTGAATCCTTTCATTTGCCAGGATTTGTGAAGCACCATCTCCTTGGTCCGAAAGCTTAAAAACTTGACCACAATAGAGCGAGGGGGAGCGCTTGGCACTGGAGGAGGTCCCAGGGAGCGGTACGCTCTTTCGATGCCCAATTCCAGGTCATTTGACAACTGGAGACCCTCACGAAGTAAGTTTTCAACAAATATGACCATTTCTGTCTCTTCTTTCTCCGCGTTCTCGCTGACCCCGTATATTCTCACATTTTCGCATCTTCCTCGGGCCTGGATGTCAACTAGCTGCTCCTCCAGCTTTGAGCATAGCTTTAGAAAGCCAGTGGCTACAATTTCGGATGTTTGAACCCGCTCTTCGACTTTTTCAATACGACTTTAGGCCTTCTCTAGTCTATTGTTGATTGAAGAAATGTCTCTTTTTAGCTCTTCAAATTGGTCCCTGCTTTCTTGTCGAAACTGCTTTAGCTCATTTAAGATCTTGGAGTCCGCCACCTCGCTGGGCAAGTGCTAGTAAGCCCGTAGTTAGCCGTGACCATGGATCCCAGTCTCCCTCTCTTTTTTTTAGGGTGAAATAATTCATGGTGACATCTGGCCCCCTTTTAATACTTCAGATATGCATTATTTCTCTTCTGAATGGGCCTTTTGCTAAGATTTCTCTGGGTCGGTCGGGAGCCTTCTTACTGTGCTGCCAGTGTCTCAGTGTTCCAACGGAAGTCTCCACTCAGTTTTTAAACTTCATATATCTTTACTAGAAACATTTGGATAATTTCAGCTCTACAATTGCCTATTGCTAATAAACTAAAGGTAAAAGTTGCTGTAAAACACAGTTTTATGACATCACAAAGTGGAACAGAGTATTGTGATCTTTGGAGATGTAGACACATTAATAATAAAGTGTTACTCAAACATGTATGAATGAAACAAAACACAACTCCAGTAAAGTTTTTAAGGAGGTAACAGCATTATAACATGTCTAAAAGCTCAGAGTCAATTTTGTGTAATATAGGGCCTTTATGTATGTTTGTAGGTGACATGGTTATGCAGAAGACGTTCCTGACACCCACTGGGGTATTTTTAGTGTCCATGACCGTCATGTATATGATAACAGCTATTCTCCACCCAGAGGAGTTTGGTACGACTTACTTTTTATTACAAAGCGCTGGTATTTTGTGAAACCAGTAACCATGTGTAATCTGTTCCACAGGTTTGATCATGTATGGCCTGATGTACTTTATCTGTATTCCCAGTGGCTATCTCCTCCTGACCATTTACTCTCTTGTCAACATGAACAACGTGTCATGGGGCACAAGGGAGACCAACAAGTAATGTATTAACAGATTTAATGTCATAGCTGAACTCACAAATCACTAAAAACTCTGCTGCTGCTATTGTTTCAAACGTGCTTTATCTCACACTGACACATTTCTTTGCTTCAGGGGAGAGGTAGAAGCAAAGAAGCTCCAGAACGTCCTGTGTGACAAGAACTGTCGGCTTTGCTGCTGGGACATGAAATTACAGGTGCCCCATGGTCCAAAATAATTTAATTAAAAATTTTCCAATACAATTCATATGACTTTAACCATCTCCTTTTCAGGTAACCCAAGAAGCAGAGAATGTAATGTTTCAGAAGATAGGAGGACATCCTGCACTGCTAGCCCCTCCACTCCTCGTTACCAGCCAGCCAACAACACAAGAAACAGCCTTAATGCAGCAGAGCAATGACTTGCCCAAAGAAACACAAGAAAAAGAGAAAGAAAAAGAGGATAAACTAAATCTGTTTGAAAAACAAGAGACAAAATACAATCATGTAGCTTCTATTTCCAGGTGTGCAATGAAATTATTCACAACGCATTCCTTTTTTGTTTAATTTTGAGCAAAATCAGCGTAAGACGCTTGCTATAATCATAAATAAATAAATGTCTGTGCATCTCTCTAACAGCAGTGATTACAGCAGCGATAAGAAGAGCGTATTGTCCTCGGACTTTGATGAAGATGATGACGATGTGAACTACAGGTCAGAACTAGCAGAAAACAACTTCCTGTTAGTGGTAAGAAACATATGAAATGAAAAGTAACTACAGTTAGTTATCCATTGATATTGAAAGCATCTATGGTGTTCTTGCAGATTGGGTATATCCAGTGAAGGAGGAGTTCCTAAAGAAGTTGACTTATGCAAATATGGCAAAAAACTTAAAGGAACAGATAAGGCAAGTAATCATTCTCAACATACACATTGGTATTCCTTAGCATTTGTTTTAATATATTATGCTACAACACCATTCTAAAATTAAAAGGTACATTATTTAACTTCTAAGTTAAAGGGTCTTCCTCCACCTGCTCATGCCCATGGAGATGTTATTGCTTTGCCTGGAGTGTTCCACAGGATAACATTATACTTTTATCTCCATGGAGACAAGCAAGTGATGCCACTAAGGCAAGTTACTGGTCAGATCTGTGGAGAGGCAATCCCATCAACTGTGGGAATCTTTTATTTTTATTTTAACAATAAGAACACAAATAAATACTTAAATGTAAGACTGATACATTATAGATTAAAGTAATGTCAAACTATGGAACATTTTAAAGAAAGCAAAAATATCCCAATGAACAAACGCAATGATGGACCACCCAGCTGAAAAGTTACATAGTGCACCTTTAACGCAAAAAGTACAGTCAGAAAAGTCTACCAGTCCATTAAAAGTGTGGGATAAGTTTGTACTGCTGCAAATTGTTTCTAGTTATGTTTTTCACATATTTAGAAGAGTAAAAAATTGGTACAGTGCCTAAAACCAAAAAGTGTTTTTGTGTGTAGGTTTGTACTTCCTGTCAGTGAGGATGAGCTCTGTGATGAGCTGGTGTTGATGTTAAATGACACACTCACCACAGAGCTCAGCAGAGTTGGGCCTGAAGATATCCCCTCAAACTGCCAACTGGAGGAACTGAGGGATGCACTCACCAGACAAGTAATCACAAGACTGCTATGCATTTCAATTTTAAAATACCAAAAACAAAATACATAACCAGCGTTCTTCCTCTGCCAGGCAAGACAAATCCTGAAGAATAACCATAAGAAAAAACTTGAAAAGAAAGTCATGAGCGCTATTGAGAAAACCCTCAGAGCCCCACAAGTCAAACAACTGAATGAGGTACACAGTTTCCATACAGATTCACAGTACTGTGCTAAAGTCAGCATACATAGTAGCTGTAGTTAACATTACAGTCTGGTAATCATTACAAGTCTAAATAAAGCAAAGCATATTTACTAGTACCTACTAATGCTTGTTCTCTGTCAGAAATGAAAATAGGTAAGATAATAACAAAGGAGAAATTCAATTCTGTCAAACAGACAAACATTTTTTGATTGACTATGTTTTGCAGTTTATCCAAACTGCTTCTTCAGTTTTGGTCAGATTGCTGGTGGACACTGCCTTATACATGCCTATAGGAAGGAGCTAACTACACTGAAACTACTCTGAAACTAACACACCTATTTGTTTACAGTTTGTTAGCTGGTCATGTTGACCAGTAAGTAAATGGTTAGGTTAGATAATAGCAAGTATACTATTGAGGAATTTCTCCCACATTTCCTCACTGTCTCCACGAAAATATCAAATAGTTTGCATGCCAGGTGCTAAAAAGGTCCTCAAAACTATGGCCTATTAATTTTATGTGCAAAAATGCAAGAAAGTGGGAATGCAGAAAAACTTTTTTTTTTTTTTTTTAAACAAGCAAGAGTCAAAAAGTGACTTAAAATAGTACAGAATGGCAATAAACTAATCTAAAAAGGGATATGGGTTCATGCCATATGAGGTCTTCTAAAGATTTTTGTTAGCCCACAAAATATTTAAGTTGTTTTAATTGCAAAATGTGATAATATAGTAGTAGTGTATCATCTGTCTAATTCTAATTAGGATGAAAATGACTTCTGGAATAAGTTAATCGACCGATACCTGAAACCAATTGTTGACAGCCAGGAGCATAAAGATGAAGTCAGCAAAGAGCTGAAATCACTGCGCAACAAGGTACCTGCACCTGATAGCACTGGCTTTTTATATAAAGAAAATGTTTAATAAGTTTGTCATGTCCTTCACAGGCAGTCTTCCTCTATTTTATCATAAACATTTTATGGGTGGTTGCAACATTCTTCCTGCAAGCAATTGGAAATGACGTGATCAGCATCAAAATCCCTAAATATTATTCAAACGGCAGTCTTTCAACTGAGTATTTAAAGGTGGGACAAGAAAAATTTTAAGATACTGGGATTTGTAATGCTTATAGTTACTATTTACTCATGCTGTTACAGGTTGAACCTCTGAGCTTGATGTTCCTTCTATCCTTTGCCATTCTACTTGTGGTCCAATTCCTGGCGATGTTATATCACCGGTACATATGCTTGTTATGATGAAAAATGAAAGATAATTTCTATGTGTCACATCACTTTGTATTCTGTTTATAGGGTCTATACTCTTATTCATATTGTATCTTATCGGAGCAAAGAAAAGGACTACATAGAGAAGCCTACAACATATGTAAGCAACACCTGCCAAAATAATTGCACATTTATTTATTAATTTATTTATTTTTACTTGCATGAATGGAGTTGTTTGTGAAACTTAAAAGAGCAAAAGACCTTATGTGACTAAATAACGTTGGGCAGTCAGTCTATGGTTGGACAATACTGTACAATTCGACTTTACTTTTTTCTTTTAATATGAATGAAGTCTTGCTCTTTTTCTCCCTCCGATATTAGACCTATAATGGACGCCCTATAATAGCGTAATAACGTAGCTCACCTATGTAATGTGAAACTAGCTCTAGCCAATTAGGCTAATCGGCTACTATACTGACATTGACAAAACAAAATATAAAGTAGTGTAAATTAGGCTAGTAATCTTATTAATAGCTTACCTTAATTATGTCCATTTATGTACTGTTGATATCCCATGGTCTGAAGCTTTCTTTTAAGTATTTTCGCTGGTAATTACCCGCTGGTGTGGCCATAGCTCGTAGGTGTGACACGTGGAAGGTAAATGGTCGATCATCGATTGAGCAATGTTTCTCACAATGAACTATCCACCTGTCTAGGCCTAGGTGGCGCTAACCGAGATTGACATATTAAAGTTAGATCTAATTTTCTAATAATTTACTGATCGTTCATTCACAGTTAATAAGGCATTGTGTATGTAAAACTTAACTTCGACTGATTTTCTCTAGCCTATGTGCAGCTAATTTATGTCTTTATTTAGGACCCAGAAAGGGATGATCACTTCATTGAAGAAAACCCTGGAGCCATTGAACTCATGATCAACAAAGATGATCTGCATTCATAGCCATATTCATAGAGCGTTTAACTATATCATGATTTTTTTAATTTGTCAAATGTAATAAGAAATAATGTATGTCAGTACTTGGCACTATAGAAATCAATTCAACATTTCCATTCATTAACTGATCAAATCTAAATGCTACTACTTTGAAATATTACCAAGCTTGAAAAAAGACATTTTATTGTATAGTTGTAAATGTATGGTCTGTAAGCATTGCCCAGTAAAACCTGAAAATCAATATGCCTTCATTTTATGAAGGCATGTGTTTATGAATAACTATTAAAAGACAAATTATGTAAAATAGCTTTATTTGTAGAGTCTGAGTTTGTTTTAAATGTTGCTGATTGTATATTGTCAAATAACCAATTTATGAAAAATCAAGGTATTATCATTGCATTGCATTATTATTGCATTATTTTTAGTGCAACTTAACTTTTGCCCTTATTTGTCTCCATTTTTGTATATTTGTAGCATAATTAATTGTCTTTGTGTAAAATTAATGAATAACACTCAAAACAATGAAAATAGTTTTTAAAATGATATTTATCATTTGATGAATTAAAGAAGGTTTATATTACTTCAAAACCTTGAGGAAAATGTACAGTACATATGAATACATGTTTGTGTGAAGTACTTTGTAAAAGGTCAGGTTGATACTCCGCTTTTGTGGTCATATATGACTATCTGTACTGAAGAGACTATGAAAAATGTTAACTGGAGTTAGTAAAAAAGTACATTATTAGTCCACATATCAGTAATCAAAAGCTTGGCTGAAGCTACGTTTCTGTCCTCCTCCTCCTCTGCTGTTGCCATAGCCACCACCACCGTTTCGGAAGCCCCCATTCCTGAAGTTTCGGCCTCTTCCTCCTCTGAACCCTCCAGATCTGTCACCACGATTACCACTACCAAATCCCCTGTCGCTACGATTGCCTGGTTTTTCCTCAAGTTCGGGCAGCTCTGTTGCTACAGTCAATTGCCAGCGCCGACCATCCGTCCAGGATTCCTATTGGAGCAACCAGAAAATTAGGCTGTGGCTCTTTTTTGTGATATTAACTAAAGGTCTAAGCTTTGCATGTCTCACCTGAATCTGCTTGACTTTGTCTGCTGGGACATCAAAACAAACTCCCTGTTAATTAACAGACAAATGATTAGCAAATTAGCTGTATATTTTCAGTCTTGTTAAAAAAAATAATAATAATAATTAAAAAAAAAACAAACATACAGTTTTTCCCTTCAGAAACGTCATTCTGTGAATATGGTTCTCAATCTCCTCTCCAAGTTGTTCTTTGATGGTTCTCCATGCATAACCAAGATTGTGCATTTCTTGTGAACACACTAACTGGAGAGTTGTGTATCCCTAGAAAAGCAGTAAGCAGAATGTAAAAACCACAAATAGACAACCAAAATTCCCATTCTCTTTTCTTACAGCATCAGAGTTGAGAAGTGATCGCTGCTCCAAACTCGTAGCTCCAGAAATATGGGCTAAGGCGGCTGCTAGTGCCTCAACAGCTCCTCTTTCTTCTATTAGCCTTTGAGCTGATTCCTTGAAATAACCAATAGCTGCAACAGGTACAGAGTCCAAGAACCTGTGTATTGAAGGAATACAAACATTGCCATCTCCTATTGAACTATAAAAGTATTAATTATTCAAGTTTCTGAAGTACTCACCTGACTGCGTCCTTGCTGGAAGATTTTATGATGTCATTGGCAGTTGGAACACCAACCCGTCTAAATGTGATGCACTGAAAAATGACATCAGTCCTGATTAAGGTTTGCCATAGCGCAGTGGTGCTCACACTTTTTCAGCATGTGAGCTACTTACAAAATGACCAAGTCATAATGATCTACCTAATACAAAGCCAAGCAAACTGCACTGAAACACACTGTGCCCCTTTTTTGGACCCTCACCCACAGTTTGAGAACCCCTTCTTTAAGAGAACTTCCTCTGGCACTTCACACAAAACTATGAAAAAAGTGAAGGAAGATGTTTAAACCTGTTTTTTAAAGTTCCAAACTGGAGTTGCATTCTTTTCTGGTTTTGCAGTGATATTTACCAGCCTCTGCACGTTTACCAAACCAAACGCACATCGTGACAAACACAGATGCATTTGTGCACTTTTGTCAGGCAAACTTCAGCCAAATGTGGCAGGTCTGTTCTGTGGTTCTGCTCTATGCTGTAGGCCTGCTTTGTGTCAACACTGGAACACAAATTTAGACTCGTTTTTGCTTCACTTTTCGTCTTGCTCTTCTAATCAGCGCGCACTTTGGAAGGGGCTTGTGTTCGCTGTACGCAGGAAGGAGCGAGAGTGTGAAAAGGCGAGGGGCGGCATGCTGACATGAGGCAGATGGACAGGTAGGATGTTTAGGAAGTTTAACCTGCCCTGTGATGCACGTTGGTACACGAGGGCACACGCTGTTGCAGACAAGCCGTGCACAGGGAGCGTGTGTATTTAATGTGCCGTAGAGTCTCCGCGGGCTGCACTAAGCGCACAGGCTGCACTGAGACGCCCCACACGCTCCTGCACCCCGGTACAAGTTTATTGCAAACAGCAGCAGCCGTAATGAAATATGATTGCACTTGTTGAGTGTCAGACCTTGAGTGAGAGACAAGACTGAGTCCAAACGCGAGTCCGAGACGAGACACAGCGATCTACCCACACAACCTTGGCGATCGACTGGTAGATCGCGACTGACATATTGAGCACCCCTGCCATAGCGTATATATAATGTATGTGTCTTCCTCTAGTCCTAATTGAGTGCATTGTAGCCATTATACATTAAAAGTACGAAAATCACAAACATGCAGGCACTTCCCATTGACTTACACTGGTATATTATGGCCCCTCTCTCTATAACTACTGCTGTGAAGCTCGTCATTTTGGTCTTAAAGGACCCAATCTTGCCCCCAATCTTAGCACTAGCACTAGCGTTAGCTAGCATCGTAAACTTGTAGTTTTTTCGGCTATAATCTTGCACAGTATGCCATAAAAATTATATCTCCATAGAAAATGTTCATGCGAATGGCATTTTACTTACAGCTTTGTTTTCTACATAGCGCAGTTGGTCCTCTTCTTTTCTTTGATAGAAACAGATGCACACTCCAGTGCGGCCAGCCCGGCCTGTTCGGCCTGAGCGATGGATGTAAGACTCTACATCCTAGCAGAAAATTCCACAGTTTAAATGAATGTTTATTAATCACTGGGCACTTGAGTCTGAATAAATGTGCATACCTTTGGAGGGGAACACTGAACAACCAGATCCACTTCTGGGATATCTAAACCTCGAGCAGCAACATTTGTCGCAACAAGAACTTCAAAAGCACCATTCCTGAATCCTTTCAGTGTCAGCTCTCTTTGTTTTTGAGGAATATCTCCATGAAGAGATTGAGAACTCTAGAAACAACAAAGCAGGAAAGCAGCATTACCTTCACCACTTAAGTTCATATCCTGGGCAACAGTGATCCTGTGGTTACAATGCTCATTCACCAACTTTAAAGAGTGGCAAGACTGACCCCACTCAAACCAGAGCATGCCGTCACTGTGTCGTTGGGTAAGACATGTCACACACTGTGCTCATGTGTCGGCAGTGTGATGCATGGTTGTTGATGATCAGTGTACATATTTTTACAAGTAGTCCATAAGAATAAAGATAAAAAGGCAGGAGACAGGTGATATTTCCACATGAACAGATTTAAGTACTTAAATGCGGTGAATCATATTGAAGGACATTAAACAAGACAGCAGATTAACTGAGCACGTCTTGATGCCACAAATAAGATGTGATGAACTGTTCTAGCTTGACTGTGCAGTTTAGAGGTGATTTTTCTGAAAGAGGATCTAAAATTCAGCCCTGATTCCATATTTTTCCTTAGTTTACCACCACCAAAAATGTAGCATACTACACTGTAGCTTGTAAAGTGTCCAACAAATGTTTGACATTGTTATTCTTAGATGAAAATGTAATGGTTTAAATATGTACTGAATCTAGATCTATCATACTTCTACCAGCTTCTACACTTAAATTCACAATCAAGATGGGTTGGTATAAAAAATAAACTTGGAATTGAGGGAACACTGCATCTGTTTAGTGTGTTACCCAATATATAAAAATATTTCTTGTACCTGTTTGATCGATGAATTCATGGCAAGCTCATTGGCCTCCTTCTTAGTCTCACAGAAAATAATAGTCCTTCCATGGCTGCCACTGTAAACCTGGATAACATCTCCTATCACAGCAGCCCGCTGTGACCAGTGACACGCAATGGCCAGATGCTGTGAACAAGGAATTAAACAAACATCAAATTTGCAATACTGTAGCTTTTAGAAAACTCTAAACTTGTTTTCCTATGCACTCACTTCAACGGTTGTTGCAGCTTTTTGCATTTTTTTGCCAATCAGGTCAACATGTTTACAGTTGGGCCTCATGTATTTCTTTGCTACTTCATAAACCCACTGAGGACAAGTGGCTGAGAACAGCAATGTCTGCGGATTGGAGTCAGAATCTACAAAATACATAAGACACATTTAATTTATCCAATATGTAATATAAAAATAAAAATGTCAAAACATTGTATATTATATACCTTTTTTATAAGAAGAGGCCAATATCTCTTCAACTTGTTCAGCAAATCCCATGTCCAACATTTGGTCAACTTCGTCAAGGACTACATGTTTGAGTTTTGAAAGGTCCAGCTTATGGTTTTGAATGTGGTCCTTGATACGTCCAGGCGTGCCAACCAAAATGTCAATACCATTACGAATAGCATCAACTGAAACAGGCAAATTACACTGATTTATGGAAAGAATCACTTTGCACAACCAAACTATCATAACAGTCATCAAGAATCATAACTAGTTTACAAGTGTATCAATTTAATGGTGTAAATGCAATAGGCCTCATTCATGAATGTTTCTTTAGAGCATGTTCATAACTTCTGTTTTAAGAAGACTTTAAAAGAACTTTATACTAGATCACTCAATTACATTTACTTATATAAAATTCTATATATCTATGTATTTACACCCCCTAAACGTCCATATATATGGACTCAACATGACGTGAAAGCGAGAGAACAAAGAAATAACATGGAGCACCTCTACCCCTGCTTTACAGTTTCAGCAAAATCACAGTACCGGTAAATAACAGAGCTCTAGTTATTGGGGCGTTGACAGGGGGCTACTGACTGACTGCGTGAGTTCTGTGGGGAGTTATAATAAAAGGTAGAAAAAAAAGAACAGATCCACAGCAGTTCTTTGTAGCTCCCATTTTTTTATTTTAATAGCAACACAATATTTATATTAAATTAAAATTGTTTTTTTTTTTAATGGGAGCTCCAAAGAACTGCTGTGTGGTTAATTTTTTTTCTTTTCTACAGTTTTGGTTTTTGGACCCAGCACACAGACATGCCTCTGGCTCCACAGTTATAATAATGACTCATGCAGAGGGCACTGGGACTGTAACAAACTGCTGTGACTGCTGTACAAAATGTACACTGTATATCACCTCTGATCACCTTTTTTGTAACCGATATTATCTTTACATGAAATAATTTGTAAATTTTGTAAATTTTTAAAAAAAGTTACAATCACGCTGGAAGTAGAATTTTTGGTTGCATTACAATATATTAAATATTCTACATATATTTCATAAGTGGTCTTGACTGTTGTTAAGATTTCTTCTAGGAACATTTTCAGTTAATTTTGTTCTTCCTTTGTAAGAAGCTCTTAAGTATAAGTAAGTTTGCAAGAATGTGCCATGTAGAAGACCAACTGTATTTAGGAACAAACTTACTCTGTGGGTTGTATGAACTCCCTCCATAAAAACAGGCAATGGCCAGTCTTTTGGCAATGTCTTTGAAGTCCTTTGCAACCTGAATGGCCAGCTCTCTGGTTGGCGCCAAAACCAAAACCTACAATAAAAGTATTGGTAAAAAGTTTTATTTACAGGCAAAAAATGTTTTAGGAGTTGCAGATTTACCTTTGGGGCACGGCCTCTGGTTTTATCAGCTCCATTCTTCTGTAGTTTCTCCACCAAAGGAAGAGCAAAAGAGAAAGTTTTTCCAGTTCCTGTCCGGGCTTGAGCAATTACATCGTCTCCATCATAAACTGAATCAAAGGTCTTCACTTGAATGTCAAACAGGTATGAGACCCCCCGAGCTGGATTTGAAAATAAAAAGAAAAAAATGACAGAAATGGTGAGTGACAAATTAATTGGTATATGTATGCACTGTGACTGTGACTTTGCTCTAGGGATGGTTTATCAGTTATTGGTGATATTGGTGATATCAGAGGATTCCTTGTCAGTATTGGTACAATATTGAAAAATGTGCCAATTTTTTTTTTCTGCACTGCCCTGGGCTTCATGTGCCCATGTGTGAGTGAAAATATGACATTAAATCACAGATAAATACATGTTATATTTTTACAAAACCGAAAAGTGAATTAGTAAACTTCACTATAACTTAACATTAATTTCAGTCTCGCTATGGATTTAAAAGCTTAATATCAGTATCTGCAAATATCAGTAATTGGCCACAACAACAAGACAAATACTGGATATCTGTATCGGGTAAAATAATCCATATCGGATCATTTCTTCTTTGCTCTACACATTACCTTTCAGCCTATCTATGGTGACTTGAGATATCCTGAAGTTTGAAAAGGCACCTTCCCTCTGCTCTGGTGTTTCCTGAATCAACAAAAGAAAATAAATCTTTGTAACAACAACAACAATAATATAATATTATTAGAGTTATTATAATTACCACAGCCTCCTTCTCACTGTCACTTGCAGAGTCCTCACTTGAATGAGATGGTGTTTGAATAGGCATCATGGTAGGAGTATTAACAGGGGAATGTCCATTTTCTTCTTCTGCAATTGCTTTGTTTTCTTTTTTCTTTTTTTTCTAGGCCGCAAGCAGTAACCATTAATAACATTTTTACTCATGGTGTTTTGTAATGTTGACTGATTGAACTTACCTCTGAGTCTGTTTTTTTAATTTGCTTTGTTGTTTCCTCTGAATGTAGGTTGCCATTTAAGTCTGTGGTTTTATTCATGTGGTCCTCTTTTTGTTTATCTTTTTTTTTCTTCTTTTTGGGTGCTGGAGGTTCACATTCTTCAAGGTCCGTAATTTGCTCCTTCTTTTTCTTTTTCTTGCCCTCTTTGATCTTATTCTAAATCATGGAAGCAGAATGATTGTTGTAAATAAATAAACAGCCTTTTGTGCATTTCTTCATTAAAGCCACACTACATGACTTTTAAGGCAAAAAAAGCATGTGGTGTTTTTTCCAAGCATAGGATTCTATAACAGAAATTATGAAACATTTATATAAAACAGAACTATATTAAAATTATTAGTTTTTATTATAGATCCATGAATACAACGTACAACTTAGTTAAGGCTGCCCAGCTGTGTTGTGTATTGCGTCATAAAAATGCGCACACACCGCGTGTGACAAATAGATCAGTATCAGCTGTAGATAAATATTCCTGTATATCTGCGCTATTATCTATTACCCAAAGATTACACGATTACATCTCTAAAGATTAATTTATCTTATTCTTCTGGAAGTTAAATTAGAAATCGTTTTTGTTGCCACGTGTTCCAGTAGCTAGCGATCTTATAAAGTAGCCAGCTGATATTTAAATGGTCAACAGCTCAGTTGTACTGCCTGCATTAACAACACAACAGAAATATAAATGCTCAAGTAAATGTGTTTCTAACAACTTGTCGTAATAGAAAAATGACATAAGCTTGTAATTTAGCTTGTTCCGCCAGCACGGATCTATGCGTAGCCACATGTTGTCAAACAAGGCTAGTCCAGAAACGGCTTTGAGATTTATGTTGTTTGGCAGCTCATTTTGCTCACCACTGAGGGGTTGTTCGGTGCCACGGAGTCTACCTCTCCTTCCATTGCTTCGCACGCGTCTTCAACCGAGATTTTAGACGGCATTTCACTTCTTTCCTTCACTTGATGTAGTCCACCAAATCTACAGAGGGAACTCATCCACGGACTCCCCGACCGAAAGGAGCGCGTAATTCTCGCGAGCGTTGGAGGAAGACCTCACGAGACTTCAAACTGAGGCCTTCAGTGTGAGTCATAGATATAAACCGTTCAATATCTATGAGTGTGAGTTTAGACCATATGATGTGAGCATGAGTGTGAGGCATAAATATTTGATACTGAAATACTGATTAAATCTTTTTATCACGGTTTAATGTATACAAGCATAACTTTCCCAACAAAACATGAAACATGGAATACCCAATATAGATTAAAAATAGAAACATAAAAGGTTATTTAAAGAATTGCTATGACAATGAGATCATATTTTTTTTCTTATTTTAAATCGTAAATCTATTATCCATCATGTAAGTTAGTCACGCTCTCTTCACTTTCAGTGTGAGCGCGCATGGCTTGTTTTTGCAACAATGCCGTAAAGCGTAGCGGTGTTGTCATTTAGACCAGTGTCCTCTGCGCTCGAAAATCGGGTCGTCCTTCAAACTAGAAACAGGACAACAATTTTGATCTCCCACACAAGAAAATGGCAGGAACGATTGCCCGTAAAGCTGTAGACCATTTGAAAAGCAAGGAGTTCAGAGATTATTTGATGAGGTATGTGTTCTGTGCTAATATGTTTAGCGGATAGCAGTCTCACTAGCTAAAAGTAGCATAAGGTGACAGGAATAGAAATCAGTGAGGGACAGGTTCACCTCCTTCACTATTCTTTAACATCTATGCAATAAAGCAATAAAGTATTATGATTAATTACAAGATCAACTTATCGTACAATACATTATTGAAGGATATTTTGTAGAGCTGAATATCTATTTTGGCTATGTTAATATTTGACCCGTGTATGGATGAATAATTAACATATTTTGTACTCAAACACATTCTGGTTCTTTTTAGCTACCATTTATATTTTGCAGCTCAGATTTTATGTTACGTTCTTTGAGTTTTGTGTGATTCTTATACGCTGAAATAATGGTCTATAATATATACTACTTCAAAATGAGTTATGAAATAAAATGAATTTAAGAGGTTTCAATGTGAATTTGTGTCACTCAAACGTACCACAATAAGGCTTATGCTGTCTTGTGTTTTACTTTAGACAATGCAAATAATCTGCATCAAACTTTAATACTTTTGACATATGACTTTTGTATGTATGAAATTCCTTTCCTTTTGTTGTTGTTTGCATTTCTGATTTTCCTCATATTAATTAATTAATTAACAAAGAATGCATGATTTCATATAGAAGTCAAAAGTACTTTTGTGTTTGACTCCAATATGTGCTTTCTCTCTTTTGATGCACTGGAAACTTGGATGTCTATCAGCACGGTATGAAAACACTGTCAATATAATCTCAATATAATATCAATATAATTTTGCCTTGTTACCTCAAGTAAACCTGATTTTTTTGCTGTGCAGCATTTCTGGGGACCTGTGGCAAACTGGGGTCTACCTATAGCAGCCATCTCAGATATGAAAAAGAGCCCTGAGATTATCAGTGGCAGAATGACCTTCGGTAAGGCACACGAAGATGAAAAAAAAAAACAATGACGACACTGTTTGCCTGTCCTATGTGTGTGGAATATGTGTTGTTGACATTGAGAAAGAATGTTGAAAGTGATTTAAAATTGTTGTAGAACTGGTCTCTTCAACATGGGGTCGGGACCCATGGGCAACCCCAGGGTTATGGTTGGGGCCTCACAAAATAATATGACTTTTAGCATTTGCATTTAAATAAAAGCTATTAATTTAAGTCATAATAATAGACCATTACAATATTCTGAACAAACCACTGAATGAAGAGAGGGATCTCCTGTTCACCAGTTCGGGGGGCCTTGACCTAAAACATGTCAAAGACCCATGTTTTTTATGTATCTGAACTTATTACACATCAAGGAATTATAATTGACAGCATATGTTTTTTACAGCTCTCTGTTGCTACTCACTCTTGTTCATGAGATTTGCTTACAAAGTGCAACCCCGCAACTGGCTGTTGTTTGCCTGCCACATAACCAACGAAACAGCTCAGTTAATCCAAGGAAGTCGTCTCATCAAATACAAGTAAGAGACAGTTTTAGTTTTTAGTCATTTAGCACCATTAGTGTTTTGAGACATTGTGCTGAATGTATATTAAGTCAAAAATAACAACCATGGCCCTGTACCTCTTATTTCAGTCTTGAGAAGAAGTCATCATAATCACCAAATCGCCTACATGCCAGAGCTTTGGAACTCCGTGTAAAATGTGGCTAATTTACTCTGATCAAAAGTCACATTTGGACAGAGTCTAGTAATAAGGTCAATTCTTGGGGTGTATTTCGGCAGTGTAACATTACAGAAAATGTTAATATCCAATAATTGAGTGATTGATTGATGCCTTAAAAATATGTTTTAGTGCACAGCCAAGATGGTAAAATGGAACGACTACTTTGAACAATTATACATAATGCAGGTCTTGGGCATCAATATTTGTATTTTCTGAATGTGTAAAACACATTTACATTACATCACATTTAATTGATAAAACTGTCACCCATGCTAATATGACGTTGAACACACCAGTATGTTATACAAGTAAATATAGGTATACATTTAATAAGGTTATTTGCTATTATTTGATTCAAACTGGACATCTCATTTGTTGATGCTGACCAAATCCGTGTTAACATATTCACATTAATTTAACATGTTTTTGTTATTTGATTCATTTTCCCTTAAAATGGAACATGATTTCTTCAAATAAAAAACACTTTTTAATGATGAAATAGGTCTTCTTGGTGTTTTTTTGTCAAACAAGTTCTTGTTTGGAAAAATATCTATTAGTATTGGACAGAGTTTTGAAGAGAGTTTGAATTTAATTTTACAATCCTGATGTCCTATACAAATGGTTAACTTCCCAGGGATATCAACCCTTTGCACCATGGTGTACATCAGAAATTAGTGAATGTATGCAGGGAGCTGCCCAGAACTCTGCTGTAAAACAACTACACAGTGAAGAGTGCTTTTTCATTTGCATCCTCTATTTCAAATTCATTAACTTGCTTGTTTCCTGGGAGCTCTAACCTCAACATCAGTTTTCCGCACTCTGTACAATGTTATCCTATTCATATACAATCCATTTAATTTCCAGATTTTAATATTCAGTGTATGAATAGGCTATGTATCCAATTACCAAAATAAAGCTTTTTTTATATGCTTTTATAAAATATAGTGATTTGTGCATTACAACTGTGTATGCAGTTGACATTATTTAGAGATTTTAATTATTTTATCCAGCGTGTTCACTTAACAGAAGACTAACTGGTACAGGTTCATGCAGCAGTTTGGAGCGGGTTGAGAGATTGAGGAGCGTTTGCTTCTAGACATTTATTTACAAATAAAAATGGTGAAAATTGCCAGAAGGTGGCGGTAGTTCCAAAGACGTTAAGACTGGTTTCAGGGAAGAGAAAGAACAAGACATCCAAGATGGCGTCTGTCAACAGTGAGGAGTGGAGAGCGCTCTGTGACAAATTCACCAACGCCCAAAATCTTACAGATGTTGAATCACTAAATGATCCGAGGAATGACCCATTCCGCTCCAAATACAAAGCGAGAGAGCTGCTGCGAGAAATCTATTGCTCTCTAAAAAGTTTCGAGGGTGTGGAGGAGGACCGCGGGGTTGAGACCAGCCTGCAGCCAGAGGAGGAGGCGGCGGTAGATGGGCAGCGTCAGGATGTGTCCGCGGAGGGGCTCTGCGGGGACTCACCTGCGGGCATGCGGACCGCTAAGCTCGCAGCGGTGGAGTATTACCTGGGCGTCAACCACATCGACACAGAGGAGCTGCCAGCTGGCCAGGAGCACTTGGGAAACTGCATGGCACTGCTGGACAAATGCACCGTGACCTGCTATAATGTCTCACTTTTCATTCACGTCAGGGTACGATTCCAGCACGTTCCAGACAAGGAAATGTAATAATGTCTGTGGTTGTCCGTATGTCAATGACAAAGTTTGTTTTCAGAACCAGCTGGGCATCCTTTGGGCAGGCTACGATGAGACGGAGAAGGCTCAAGGCTTCCTAGAGGCAGCCGAATCCAACTACCATCAATATATGAAAGATGTAAGCCGTGTAATTATTGTGAATAGTTCTCAGTGTAGTTATTGTAGTGATTGGCCTGACACACACGAGCAATTCAAACTCTGCCCGTGCAGCTGAATGTTTCTGATGGACCAGAGCAGCAGAGCAAAGCCGCGTGATGTCACATGCATTTTCACAATGTATTTGGCTGTTGGAGGCAGCACAGACAACAAATCTGCAAATCAACATTGTTCGCACTAAAACAACTACAACAACAACAAAACACACACAATGCTACTAAAACACCAACAAAATACAGCTTTTAACCCTACTCTAATGCTGCATCTTTCCGCCAGGATGGAAGTCCTCCAATTGACATGACAGAGTATTTCTCTGTTGAAGAAAATATGTTGACACACCAAGAAAGAGTCAGAAGGTAGCACAGTTCTCTTTATATTATAACATTTGTCATTGACAAATTACATATGAAAAGCAAAACAACTATCACAAGCCTAAATGTGGATTTTCTTTTTTCAAGCCATTGCCCCTAACTAATAAAGCATGCTGCACACCATTTTGAATTGAAGATTTTACAATATAATATACTGAAGACAAGTGGAAAAATTATTCTTTGTATTTAACAGATTTGAGCTGGCCTATACCCACACAATGTATTACCTTGCACAGGTCTATAAAAACCTTGGTGAGTGAAATTCTTAAAGGTGATAAAGATGTAACTTTTTTTTTAACAATAAATTTTTAGAATTTAATTCACACCATGTGTCCAGGTCAAACTGAGCGGGCTGCTACATATTGTCACAGTACTCTGCAGAGACAGCTAAAATTAAATCAATACAATCCTATGGAGTGGGCTTTAAACGCTGCTACTCTGTCTCAGTATTACATCACAAAGGTATGACTTTTTGTAGTTTCCTCACACTTTTAAATGAACTTTTTTTTAGGGGATTTTCAGTTACTTTGTTCATACGAAAATACTTTGTTTTTGATGCTACTGACATGATAATGGTTTGCCTACAGGGGCGATATATGGAAGGGAGACATTGCCTTGCAGCTGCGACTGTTATATCTGGTTTAGCTGGGGACATTCCTTCTGAGGCTGCAGCACAAGAAAGTAAGTATTCCTTATTATTTTCAATAATGAAATTTTCTGATATGTAATTATTACTCTGTTTAATTAAATCTTTTTCCAAGGTGAAATAGAAAGTGAACGTAGAGAGACACTCAGGCAGAAGAGAGCAGAGATCGCGAGATGTTGGATCAAGTATTGTCTGAACTTGCTGCAGGATGCTCGGAAGCTACTGGAGGTACTTCTTGTCCATTCTTTGTTTTATAACACTCCTACTCTATGTATGCCTAATATCAACAGTTTGTTTCAGTTCAAAAATATTCAGTCTAAAAATTTTAATATTTTACAATATTTCTGACTAGACCAGGACTAAAATTACTTGGACATGGGCAACGCCAGTCTATATCAGGACTACATCACCCCCTGTTAAACAAGAACAAGTGTGAAGGCACTATCACTAAACAATTTCTAGAAGAAACACTAGATGGTGCTGTTGTATATATCCGTTTGTTCTTAATTTCCAATTTATTTTAATTAAACAACTAATCTTAATTTGTTTTGTTTTATCATTTTTTGTTTAATTATGTGATCAGATGTATTGTATGAAGTATGAACCTATCCACTGATGTCAGTTCATGCATGTGTGTGACAAGGACAACATTGGTGAAATAGATTCTGATCGCCAAGAAGAGCTGGGAAATGCAAGAAGACGAGCTGAAGAGGAGGAGGAAAAAGGACGGAAGAGCACGCTGCTGTTTGATTCTGAAGATACTTTTGACTCTATTGCCAGCCTGGAAGAAAAGGTCTGATCACACGCTTTGATTAAATGTTTATTATCACCTACCCCTTTTTTACATTCAATATTTTTATCCTGTCCTATCTTTTCAGGTACAATGTTTGTTCCCACTGGACTTTACAGAGGCACGTGCTGTATTTCTTGTGGGACAGAACTATGTAACTCAGGTAACTTATATTGGATTTAATTTATGAAGAAATATTCAAGTTTGTATGTTTTGTTTTTCTATTAAATATTTTGGTTCCTTGTCAATAAAGCATAGTGTGATTAGTTTTAATCATTGTGTGATTAGTTGTGTTCATTTTTCAGGCTAAAGAATATTTCCAGATGGACGGTTATGTGACAGACCACATTGAAATTCTGCAAGATCATAGTGCTTTGTTCAGAGTACTGGCATTTTTTGAAGAGGACCTTGAACGACGCTGCAAAATGCACAAGAGGAGAGTTGACATGCTGGAGCCAATTTGTAATGGTAATATTCAATTTTTTTATATGCATATGTTCAATGTATAGTTAGAACCAGACATTTACATACACAGCATTAGGGACGGGACAAGATTTCATGCCACTTGCTCTCATGTGATAAAATTGTGTACACGTGGAAAATGATAAATGAAAGTGATTGTGACTTTTCTTTCATCCAGTCCACTCCCTACACTGCATTTTTTAATAATATTGTCACATATTTCACCCCTCACAGAACTTAATGCTCAATACTACCTTATGATCCGGCGTCAGTTGATGTTTGAGTTGGCTGAGACTTATAATGACATGATGGATCTGAAGCTCGCTCTGGCTAACAGACAAGCAGACACACAGTCTTTAGACAGCCACACCATAAAGAAATTCAACCATCTTTGCTCTTCCTCTGCAAAGTAAGTAAGAGGGGGAAAAAAAAGGTGTTGCTTTAAACACACTTCTGACCATGTCTTTTTCAAATGCAGATACTTCCAAATGTTCCTGGACTCTTTGCGTTCTCCAGAAGGGAAGATACCAGACCATTTGGAGGAAGAAGTACTCAGACCTGCTCTAGTGGCTCGCTTTAGAGTCGCACGACTTCACAGCCGCCTCATCAGCTCTTCACCAACAGTGCAGCTGGACAATCTCAACAAAGCTTTGGAAAACTACAAGTATGGCTTAGTTACTTACTTGCCTTTATGGTGCAAATATCATATCAAATAATTTGTTGTTCTAATGCTCCTTCTGTTGTCCGGTAGATACGTGGTTCAGTACTGTGAGACTCATCCTGAGGCAGGAGCTGTCGTGGAGATAGAGCTGGAGCTGAGTAAAGAGATGGCCGGCCTGCTGCCATTGAAAATCAATCGGCTCAAAGCAAGAATGGGTTCCAATAACTGAACACTATTGTACTGATCTTCTCACGGGCCAAAATACAAGCTACCAATGGCTTACACTAAAACAATGAATAGCAATGTTTAGATTAGCTATCACTTGTGACTCTGCTATGTTAATTTATTGTTTACTTGCTGTGGCACAGTTCCTATATGAAATTTAACTGTGCAAGCAGTTCTACTTGTATCTGCATGAAGTATTGTCTTATCTTTTAACTAAACCTGTGCAATTATCCTGTTCATGTAAATATTGTATGTAATTGTACTGAACCAAGTATGTGTAACTGTGCTACTTAGACACCTGCTTGAACTATTGTATCTGTGACCGGGCCATTGGTTGAATGACTTAAAATAGTGGCCTTACAAAAGAGAATGCAAAGATAATCTTCTTGCAATCTTCAGATTTGAGACTATAATATGGTACTAGCTACAGCTAAATAGTTATTATCTGCAACTTGGAGACAATAAACACTTGGTGACACACTTTTTACCCTGTCTTGGCTATAATTCATTGCTACAAAGAAAAACTGATTTGTTCAATTTAAAAAATCATTCTAACCAGCACACATGTACTTATATCTTTTTATCTAGGTATTACTCCCATTAAGGTCTTCAGATTTATATCATGGTAGATTTAGAGGTTGTTCTGGTGTTGCTAGATATGTATCTTTATCTGTTTGAGTGGCCAGTGTCGGGCATGTTAATGTGTCATTTCCTGAGGTTAAACAATTGTAGCTACCACTTCCGTTAAAACCAAGTGACATGTCAGCTGAAAATAATACTACTATATTTCTTTTTTGTTGATTAACATGAACTGTGAGGCAGAGGAATGCAGCTCAAGAGTCACTCCTGTATGAGGTCTACAAGAACTCAACAAACATCTGACACAGCTGACAATAAAACACACTCATACAGTGCAGAGTGGCCCAAACACTGGTTTATGTTGCCAGGATGCTCTCTTGCTCTTTGTTATACTGGAATACTTTGACCAAGCAACTGAATGTGTTTTGATGTGTGGAGGAGATCTCAAAACTAGTCCTAAGGTGACACACAGTGTACACCACAGATGATTCATCATACAGTATTAAGTGTCTACTTAGCATCTTTCAGAAAACTTCCAGTAAATTGGTCACGTCAGAGCAGTTTTAAGCTGTTTCCCCGAACTCTGGCAAACTGGAGATCATCCTTTTTGAATGAATTCAGACTTATTCCCAATCATTTTGAGGGGCTTGTTGTTCACTTCAGTCACTGTGTTTGCTGGTTTAAGAAATAATTTCACACAAAAGAAAAAATATCCCAATAAGTTGGCAGATTCATATTTCACTGCTTTATATACAATGAATTAGATTGGAATTCCTTGAAATTACATCCTAAATATAACATGAATGATAATAAAATGTATTATTTTGTCTCCTTACCACTTGGTTTGATTGTTAGGTTATTTCATAGGATCTAAGGATGTTGCTGTGAAGCTATTTTTGCTGTATGAATACTAAGTGCCAACACTGGATCCATCATGGTTATAACTGGCCTATAAAGGGACAACGGATAATCCAATTTAATAAAGTAGCCGAAAAGTAAATGCATACTATGGCCTACACGTCTCGCTTTGCCTGTTCTTAAAAAAGAAAAAAATGGGCCAATAACACTGTGGTCGCATCTTGTTAGTTTCCATCAGAGGCGCGGGTCAGCGTTGGATGCTGATATCTTTTGGTATTTCCTCAATCGTGTTGCGCAGTTACGCAAACGCGGAGTTGTTATCTGATATTTGTGGGCCGTGCAAAGTTTCCACCTAAGGATGTTCAGACTCTTCTTTTTGCACAATCTAGTGTTGAGGAAACCATGACGCATTCAGGGGGCTGAGCTCTTAAACACCGAGTCTGGATGTCAAAAGCAGTTGACATTTTTCTTCACGCTGTAGGTACAGAAAGTTATTTCACCCGCGTATTCACGTTTTGCCGTTCAGTGAAGAAAATGATTTTGTTTCTCGTAGTATTCAGCCTCGCCCTCAGTGGTACACAGGGTAAGACGTCAATATCCCTTTGCTTCATTATCAGCTGTGTTAATTGGGTTGAATGTGGCGTTAATTTTGACCGGAAACAATGCGTAAAATTAGGCTACATCGCGCTAAATTAAAGTGTTCTATGCTCTTTGACTTACATGTAAATTCTACATCTGTGGACTATAACTTAGTAATGACTGATCAGTAAAGACTTTCTACTTGATAATTAAAAAAAAGAAAGAAAAGAAACATTATGAGTACATTTGCGCTTTGATCCATGTGTATTTTTTGTTATTTTAGAAGCCACAGCACAGTGTGTTTTGGTGTGAACCTTAGAATATGTCAGGGGAAAGTAGAAAAAAGTCCCTTTATTCACACGCACCAGATCACTCAGTTTCTGTTTCCAACAGTTTAGTTTCGATGTATGAATGTGATTTCATATAACTGATAGACTATAAAAGCCTAGACTACTAAAAGAAAAATTGCCCACTTTTTAATAAAAGATTGATAGATTTCAGCAACAAGAGTGCACTTAAATCTAGGCTCACACACAACTTCAGAACTTTTTTCAGCTTGATGTTTCTTGGGAAAAACTGTTACTTTTAAGAATAATGTTTACCTGACAGCATCCCAAAACTCAGAAATATTGTAATGTTGGTTACGAGGGGCAGAAACAGGCAAATATTTTGCTTGGTTTGAATAATGTATGTGATGTTACTTCCACTTTATTTCTAGGAGCACCAAGCACTGCAGTGTACAAGTTTGTCAAGTGTAACCCCGAAGGAGACCAAGCCAACTGCATCACTCACCAAAGTGCTAATATGGAGTGGAGTCGGGATTTACCAACAAAACTCCCTGCCTCTGCTACCCAGTACCTGTGAGTCCATACAGCTGCTTACTGAAAAAGTCCCAAAGTCACTTTTTGGATGAGCCACAATATGCATTCATGTGTTTGTCAGCAAGTATGTAAGTGGCAGGTACGTTTCCAAAAAAAACCAAAATAGGCGTCAGCATGGAGAGATAAAGAAAGAGACACTGTCCTATAGGCAGAGCTCATTATGAAAAAATACCTTTAGTATGGAAACATTAAACGTGTGAGTGAGTGAAAATGGGTCACTTGGTGTAATGGTTGTCTTATAATGGAAGGTTGTTTTTTATATCATAGCTCTGACCAGAGCTGACACTGTTGTTGTGTTCTTGAGCATGAATCTTCCTCCACATATGAATATGAGTGAGGAAATTATGAAGTTATGGTTAGTGGCCATTGCCACTTTCAGAAGATTGTTAAGCCTCTGAAGTACAAATGTATTTATACTTTATATTACTATTAGTATTATAACTGTTGTGTCAAGTTGTAATGTAGATTTGGACCAAGGGACCCTGACTTTGTTTTTTATACAAAAGTTGTGATTAAGGTTAAAGTGAAGGCACCCTTTGTTGTTGTTGATTGCTGAGAAAACCCAGAATGCAACATTTGCTTTGATATTTCTTCATTTTTATGTTTTAAAAATAACAACATATACTAATTGAGGACATCAGATAATCCATCCTTCACATTTAGTGTGTGAACTGCGCAATGTCCAATGTATCTGACATTCACAGTTACTTAGAAAATATTAATGTCAGTCCTTCCACTGCAGCCTGCGCAGGAAGTGAAGGGGAAGTGCTCAGAGGAAGTGTGGCTGTGACGCCTTGTTACACAGCTCCACTCTATTGTTCAATTTATGTATGCTCCTCGAACTACACCTTTAAAGATTTATTTATTTTTATTTAACCTTTATTTTACCAGGCAAAACATTAAGAACAAATTCTTATTTACAATGTTGGCCTGGGCAACATTGGGCAAAGATGCACTATGTAACTTTGTTGGTTGAGGGTCCGCTAACTGCTTGTCTGCATGTAGATTTTTTATTTATTTTTTTTGTATAACAATGTTTTTATTTATTTTTTGTACATTATCTTTCTTTTTCAAAATAAATAGTCATAAAATATATTTTAAAGTGTTAAAGTATGTAATAATTTAAAAAAAGCTTCACAAAGTCATCTTCAGCATCATTCGCCAAATTAAGATTCCCTACAAAAATTTTAAGAGGGCCCCACATATCATCAAACAATTTCAATTTTCCTTTTCTAATGCATGTAATGCATCTTTTCAAGGGGAAAACTATGAGAGATGTTATAGTTTTATTTGGAATGTTCCAAAGTATGAACTTATCTATCCCCATGGAGACAAGCAGATAATGTTAAAAAGCCAAAATGCTGGTAGCTCACAGTGAGAATGGATATTCTTAAGATAATTTCAATCAATAAAGACACATGTAATTGAATAAATGCAAGACAGATATGTTTAATGCTGTTGCAGGCAAAAAACATCTTCATGGAGGCAGTTAGGTAGTTGACGTTAGCCGATATAGTGGACTTTTGATAATTTACCAAGCTGAGTTGTTTAAGTGACTTGGTCTTCGTCATGACTATATTCCTACATAATGCTAAATTATACTATTGCAAGGTATCCACTTTCCAGACATTGCAGTGATGTTTTTAACTGTGTTTTCAGAGAGGCTGAGCCAGTGGAGGATGAACGCGATCCAGAGGAGGAGGAGGACCCAGTAGAGGAGGAGGAGGAGTTTCTGGGCTCTGAGGAAGGAGAGTCTCCCCTGGTCTACCTGCCTGAGGATGGCTCTGGAGATGGAGGCTCTGGCTTTATGGCCGACATCGACTCAAAAGAACTCTTGGACAAAAACTACAAGCCCAACAGAGGTAATGTCTTCAAATACACCTTCTATAGTTGTTTAAATATCAGCCTACACTTTTTCTGAGTTTTTTTGCTGTTGTCATAGGTGGCCGTAAAAACCGTACATGGGACTGGCTGGATAAACGAGATGAACAAAAACCAAGCAAGGAGGAGATGATGGAAGAGCACCTTCTTCATCAGTAAAAGACACATTTATGATTAAAAGGCCAAAATAAAATGTGTATATATTTTATATTCTACAAAGTACAATTTTTTTATATGGTCTACTGTATGCAGTGAATAAAATGTAAATTACACTGAAATGAATGAACAAACCAAACATAGTAGGTCTCCTCAAACATTTGGCCTTTATTAAATAATATTTTCTTTGCTTTCTAATACTTAAGTATTCCTTGTCCAGTACATTAGGCCTACCTTACACTTATTGCTCATGCCTCGAAGTGGAGTTTCCATAAATCTGTTGTATCTGGATCATTGCATATAAATTATTGCTTAGCCCATGTTTTTGCATTCCTAAGGGATTTGAACTTACTCAGTGAGAGTATGTAACGCTTCACAAATGCCTATTCTGATGTAGGCCTTTAAAACATGTGTATTCTACATGTTTGGCAGTTTGTAAGAAAATATTTTCTTCTAATAAATAATTTTTAAAAAGAAACATTTCATAATTGTTGTAATGTTGTCCTGCATTTTGATCACAAGGTAGACTAGGGCTACTGGTGTTTCATGAAAGAAATCATTTTTGAGAAATAAAACCAGCCAATAATCAGCCAATTTCTGCCATTTGTTTCACACAGTCAGTGAACCAAGTAGTGGGTCATATGTTAATAAACACTTAATGACACTGACTGGCCTGTTATTATGCTTTAAGTTTCATATCAAATCTAGGTGGAAATGTACTATGATTCCCTTTACTTTTTCCCTTTACTTTTTCCCCTTTACTTTTCCCTTGACTTTTTCCCTTTTGTTTTCTTTCTTACAAATTGTGTGTGTTGCGTATCATATGAAGTCATGTCTAGTGGGAGTGGGACCAAAGCATCTGCTGCAGTTTTTTCAGAGGTTTCTTACCCTCATCCTCTCAGAGAGAGAGAAAGAGAAAGAGAGAGAGAGAGAGAGAGAGAGAGGGAGGAGGAGGAGGGGGAGAGAGACAGAGAGGGAGAGACAGAGACAGAGAGACAAAGAGGGAGATAGAGAGAGACAGGGAGAGAGAGAGCGAGACAGAGACATAGAGAGAGAGACAGAGACATAGAGAGAGAGAGACAGAGACAGAGAGAGAGAGACATAGAGAGAGAGACAGAGACATAGAGAGAGAGAGAGACAGAGACAGAGACATAGAGAGAGAGAGAGAGACAGAGACATAGAGACATAGAGAGAGAGAGAGAGAGAGAGAGAGAGACAGAGACAGAGACAGAGACATAGAGAGAGAGACATAGAGAGAGAGAGAGAGATAGAGAGAGAGAGAGAGACATAGAGAGAGAGAGAGAGAGACAGAGAGAGAGAGAGAGAGAGAGACAGAGACAGAGAGAGAGAGAGAGAGAGCAGCCAGGCAGGTCACATGACACTCAGTTCTATGGTTCAGGCAGTACGGGCTTCACGGAGCAGGGCTAGCTGTTAGCTTCAGCTGACTACACGGCCGAAATGGTGAGTGCAAAAACAACAGATACTCCTCAAACCACGCTGAAATGCACCGGAATCTGCTGTTTGTCTTAAAGCATAGATTACTGTTTTGTATTTGATAATTGTTATTTAAACGTGACATGAAAGAAGCTAACACAGTGGTGACCGAATTAGCTAGTACGAGGCCGCCAGCGTTACTCTGACATATTTTGGACAGCAGCAGAGCAACACTACAATACACAGATTGAAACTGAGTTGCTATTTTATATTTCTATAACACTTTCGTTGGAAATAGAGTTAGTAATGTGATGTCGCAGATGTCAGCTGTTGGAGATCTGGTGTTGCTGTAGATGTGATTTAGCTGTATCACATTTATACTGTAAAATATTGCATTTGAGTAGTGAACTAAATTGTCTACAAAATTAGCATCTGAATCAAATAACTAAGTTTATGAGTAATTGTTTTAGCTGTTAAATGTATTAGTTGAAGATACTATTTGTAACATTTCAGATGGTTGGTTTCTTTCCATGGAGAGATAGGATTGCTTTACCAGGAATGATCCACAGTATAGCATTAAACTCATATATTTCCATGGAGACAATGCCACCGGGCCAAATTACAGAAGATAGGGGAGAGGCAACGCTGCTTGAATTCAATGCATTTTTTGGAACATAATAAACAATAACTGAATAAATACAAGATAAATACATTTAATGTTTGACTGTAGAACTTTGCAAAGCAAGCCCATATCTCTGATGATAAGCAGGTGACACGTTTAATAATGTTTTAATGAAATTGCATGTGAAGCAACACTGCATTGTCTATTTCAATTGAATTTGTGAGGAAAAATGTTGATGTTTTTAGCTCTTGGAAAAGAGCTGTGGTCGTCTTCTGTAGTTCTTGCATAAGTATGAATTTTAATTTTAGTTTGTATTTTATACTCACTGTGGTTGTTAAATGTATTGTGTTTGTGTTTATGCTTTCAGAGTTTCCTTGGAGGTTTGTTTGGGCCAGTTTGTGAGATAGATGTACTTCTGAATGATGCAGAAAACAGAAAGACAGCTGAGTTAAAGACTGAAGATGGCAAAGTGGAGAAACATTACCTGTTCTATGATGGGGAGTCTGTATCCGGCAAGGTAAAGTAATGCTAACATGTGTATTACTGACTAGTCAATTTATTAAACTGAAAAAATTATTACTTTTATTTCCAGGTGAACCTAAATGTAAAACAGGGGGGGAAACGCCTCGAGCACCAAGGCATACGTATAGAGTTTGTTGGACAGATAGGTGAGTTTGCTATAATACTCCAAAACCTCAGTAAATGCTAAATAAACATGTTAAAATACTATTTGTCAGCAGTATTTTCCTCAGATGGTTGAAAGGTTTAACTAAGCACGTGGTAGTCATGTGAAGCCATAGGGCTACAGTAGGGCAACAAAAGCATTGTAGTGAAAATAACTAATGGGAGATCTATGTTAAACTTCTTTGTAATCCACATTTGACCTAGAGAATGATTAGGCTTGTTGCAATAACAAATTATGAAAGTACAATGTATTGCCACTAAAAATATAAAGAAATGTTAGAATATTGACTCTAATTTATGACACCAGTATAACATTTTTAAAGCAGGATAATCCAAGTCCAATCTCATTTTACTGATATACAATACTGATGTAAAAGATAGGCCAAAGAAAATGTACACATAATATATATTGAGACCCCAAAACATTTTCTAGCTATCATTTATTGAACAACAAATTGATATTGTTATTTGTGACATTGGTCTGCTATAACAATGCATTATGGTAATCGTATGTTTGTATTTCAGAGCTGTTTTCTGATAAAAGCAACACACATGAGTTTGTGGACCTGGTAAAAGAGTTGGCCCTACCTGGAGAACTCACTCAGAATCGGAGTTATGACTTTGAGTTTATGCAGGTTGAGAAGCCGTACGAGTCCTACACAGGAGCTAATGTCAGGCTAAGGTATACATTTGTTTATCGTGGCTTAGTTATACTGATTTAGTATTAAGCATTCATTAAATTCTCCATTTTATTGTTGTAGGTATTTTCTCAGGGTGACCATAGTCCGCCGCCTTTCTGACCTAGTCAAAGAGTATGAGCTTATTGTCCACCAGTTAGCCACATACCCAGATGTCAACAACTCAATTAAAATGGAGGTCGGAATTGAAGACTGTCTGCACATTGAGTTTGAATACAATAAGTCCAAGTAGGTTTTAGCCATAGAAAAATCTGTATAATATATAATTTGATTTATATCTATCCTGTATGTATCTTGTATCCTTGTCTTTTAGATACCACTTAAAAGATGTGATTGTGGGGAAGATCTACTTTCTGCTGGTCAGAATTAAGATCCAACACATGGAGCTACAGCTCATTAAGAAAGAGATAACTGGCATAGGTAATAGTTCATATCTATATTATTCTTATACTCACAGTTTGTTTATTTAATTTGTGCATGTTGTTTTTTTCTTTCCAGGACCCAGTACTACCACTGAGACTGAAACTGTTGCTAAATATGAGATAATGGATGGTGCTCCAGTCAAAGGAGAGTCAATCCCCATCAGACTGTTTCTTGCAGGTAAATGAAATCTGTGCTCTCATTTGATTTTTATTTGTATCCAACACTGACCACAGATTCTCTTACAGGATATGACCTGACGCCCACCATGAGGGACGTGAACAAGAAGTTTTCTGTGCGATACTTTCTCAATCTTGTCCTAGTGGATGAAGAGGATAGAAGATATTTCAAACAACAGGTTTGTTCAGCTAAAAACACAATTGACTAAAAGGCTATCTATGAAAAATATAGATTTTAAATAATCTGTCTGTGTTTAGGAAATTGTTTTGTGGAGGAAAGCTCCAGAGAAATTAAGGAAGAGAAACTTCCACCAGCGTTATGAATCTCCTGAGCCCAGGACCCAACCAGTCACTGCAGAGCAGCCAGAGATGTGAAGCTAAAGAGACTAAAGCTGCACAAAGACTTTCTACCAGGCAGTCAGGCTGTAATGGCTGCCTGTCTCTAAGGACTAAGAAAATGGCGTATACATGATGGCAAACCCAGAGACACAGGTTCCACCATCTCACAGCTACTGTTGTAAGCTCTGATTCGTCCTTAACCTTATTTTGTCTTTTTCTAGTGAATGACTTTGCAAAATTGCAATGCAAAATTACAAAGCATTAATCATTACCATCTATGCTCTGAAAAGTATCCACTGTATACGGCTAAAGAGAGAACTGTTCTGAATGCTTTTAAGCAGGGGGCCTTCATGTGAGTGTATATTTCTGCCGCGTCTGGATTTCCTTGTGTTTTCATAATGGTTCAAATATTTCTGGCATCCATCCCCCCTCTCTCCTGTCGGTAATCTGGTTTGTTTGGTTATATTGGATAAGGCTGAAATTAAGGACAGTTGTAAGGGATCAGATCTAATGAAATTACTATTTTAAATACAATAAAAAAGTAAATACATTTAACTTGTCTTAAATGTATTAATTAAGCAGATGAGTAAGCCCCCTTCGGTCGTCTTATTTATTCAACAGCTAGTATGATTTCTTTGAATTAACTTTATTGCTGAAATGGTGTCACATTTTGTTTAGTATATCTTATACACAATATAAACTTTGAAATGACTGTTTGATGGTTTATTTTCACTGATCTTAACAGGTTTTTTTTTTTTTCTTGAGAGAAGTCATTTTTATATGAATATAATTGCAGTCTTCCAGCACTAACACTAAATATAAACACTAGACTATACATTTATCTATGAAAAATGAGAACATGTGTTTTCTACATTATGAAAACAATAATATTAATGCTTACACATGTGTTCTTTACAACCAAAATTGTTTTATCTGCAAGTAATTCAGAATAGTAAAGTTAACTGTTATATGTAAGTACGTTCTCATTGGCCCAACAGGATATTAGAAAGAATACAGACCTCTATGGATAAACTGTGATGCATCATTCTTTCTTTGTAAAAGCATGAGTTGCTGTACACATGTCTGATTGGATTTATAACAGTTGTGTATGTGTAATAAAAATGGCTTACACCTGCCATTATCTGCACTCAACTTCAGTAAAGCCCCAAAAAGGTGCCACTGTGAACCCCAAAAGGGCAGTTTATGTCCTGCTTTAAAGATGCACGCACACTGTTGAAGTCACTGAATGCTTGTGTGAAGTAATGCTGAGCTGATTCTTTTGCACTTTCCAACTGTTAAACCTAAAGGGGGGTCATTAAAAAGACACGCCGCTATATCTACCACCACTTAACATTTGTCTCTTTGCAACTTATTTGTACCGCAATTACTTATTTCATTTTTCTTGTTACTACATGATAAAACAGAGTATGTTTGTAACTTTGCATTATTCTTGTCATTAGCAATTTTGTTTTATTTTTTGTCCCATATTGTAAAGGTAAAATGCCAAAAATGTCAGCTCAGCTCAATTTATTCTATTGCATGTAAACCAACCATGTCAAATCAAACCATGAGTGTGCATTTGTGTATAATAAATGTATATAAATAAAACTTAAACAATATAGATAAATGAACTCATCAATAAATGCAATTTATATTAAAGATATGTGTGCGTTATAAAGTGCTATTATATAGTCATAAATTTGATCGGATTTGTTCCAATGTGGAAACAGTGAGTTTATTTTATTTTTTCTTGACTGATTTTTGTAATCATAACATCAGAATTACAAAACTCTTAAAGCTGGACCTTAAGGGGGTAAAAGGATAGAAAAAAGGTGTCCCAAATAATGCCTCCCATTAAACGAGAGTACTTTAAACACACAATAATGTGGCTGCTGTGTTAATATATATTGAGTTGCCATTTGTGTGGCAAATAGGACAAACACTGTAACAGTAAAAGAAGCCAAGTTGCGCAGCAGTTTTGTGCATTTTTTTGTGTACAGGCGCTTTGCGGACAGCTAAACACAAATGGGGTCTTGGTCCACGTTGCAACAGCAGGAAGTGAAGGCTCGACCTCTGTGATGTTGTGGAGTTTCACATGTTTCACAGTAATGTAGTAATTATAACATCCTTTGTTAAGTGCCTTCCATTCAGCAACAGTACCGGAGAAAGTGGCGCTCATGGCGGCCTCTGTAAACCGCTGTGTGTGCGCTCTTTCACGTCTCCAGCGTACATCAGGTCGGGCTCATCTGTACGCTGGTGCTGCCTTGTCAGTCCCACGTCCACGAACTGGACCTGTGGTCTTCACCAGGGCTCGGTCCTCTGGCAGCTCCTCCCCGAAACCTCCGGACACTTCGCTGTTCGTCCCGGTGGCTCTGAAGACCGACTCATTCGCAGACGCAGGTGTTGGAGCAGAGCTTACACAGCCCTTGGATAAAAGTGAGATAATATCTTGTCCTAAACAATAAATATAATAAATAACGTGTGTTGTTGCTTTAAATATTAAACATCAGTCTATTTTCTCCATGATTGAACCAGGTGAACTTTTAAAAGTACTAAACCGCTTCTATAAAAGAAAAGAGATGCAGAAGTTGGCAGCAGATAATGGCCTCGATGGTGAGTTTATTGTTGTTTCTCAGTGTATTTGACTCAGTGTACTTTATGTCTTCACATAACGGGTCTTATTTCGGCGTTGCGTTTACAGCTCGACTGTTTCATCAAGCCTTCATCAGCTTTAGGAAATTTGTTTTGGAAATGTCATCTCTTCCTGCGGACCTGCACATCGTTCTCAGTGATGTTTGCTGTGGAGCAGGTTTGTCTTGTGTCAGATTATAGTGTGATTGTTAAAATTTTTTAGTCAACAAGTTTTCTTTGTTTCTTAAAGGTCATATAGATGATCTTTTCCCATACTTTATGCGCCACTCCAAGCAAATCTTCCCCATGTTAGACTGCATGGATGACCTGCGAAAGATCTCAGACCTCAGAGTCCCAGCCAACTGGTAAATTTACCACAAATGCTAAGCATTGGCAAACAGACTGATCCTAGCAACTTTTATGTTTCAGGTACCCAGAGGCCCGTGCAATCCAGAGAAAAGTAATTTTTCACGCTGGTCCCACAAATAGCGGCAAAACATACCATGCAATTCAGCGCTATCTAGCTGCCAAATCTGGAGTCTACTGTGGTCCTTTGAAACTTCTGGCTCATGAGATCTTTGAGAAGAGCAATGACGCTGTGAGTATTACTGTGTTTTCAACTCTTAATCCTGAACTGTTTTTTATTTTGGTTTCTTTTGGGTGTTAGGGTGTACCATGCGACTTGATAACGGGGGAAGAACGAACATTTGTGGATCCAGAGGGACGGGCATCTGGTCATGTTGCCTGCACCATTGAGATGTGCAGCGTCACTACATCCTGTATGCTTAAATAACAAAAATGAACGATCAGTTGTTAAGTGCTACTTCAGTGCAGTAGTTTTCTGTTTTACTGTTTTGTATGCAGATGAGGTCGCTGTCATTGATGAAATACAAATGATTCGAGATCCGTCCAGAGGCTGGGCTTGGACTAGAGCCCTGCTGGGTAAAACAAATACATTTGTATTTCATAAATGTTTATTTTTAGCATCCACAAATAATTTTGGCAAATGTTACAGGTCTTTGTGCTGAGGAGATTCATGTGTGTGGGGAAACAGCTGCAATAGACTTTGTAAGGGAACTAATGTATACCACTGGAGAAGAGGTGGAGGTGAGATGTCCCAATAAATAGTTTTTATACTATACATTTTGTCTTTCTTTGTATTCCTATTTTGTATTTCTGTAATTACATTTTGTATTTCTCTTCAGGTTCATAATTACCAGCGTTTGACTCCATTCTCAATCTTGGATCAAGCTTTGGATTCATTAGACAATTTGAGACCAGGGGATTGTATTGTTTGTTTCAGTAAAAATGACATTTACTCCATCAGCAGACAGGTAGAGGCTCGAGGTCTCGAATGTGCTGTGATTTATGGGAGTCTACCTCCAGGTGACTGCTTTTGCCTATGGTTTTTAATAAATTTTTTTGTTTTTTTATTTTTAAGTAATAATTGATTATTTGGTGTTATAGGTACTAAACTGTCCCAGGCCAAAAAATTCAATGACCCTGAGGACCCCTGTAAGATACTGGTCGCCACAGACGCTATTGGTATGGGACTTAACCTGAGTATTAAGCGTATCATCTTCAATAGTCTAGTCAAGCCAAATGTGAATGAAAAAGGAGAAAAACACATGGAGACAATCAGCACCTCACAGGCTTTGCAGATCGCTGGTCGAGCAGGCAGGTCAGCTATGAACATTGTCCTACAAGCCTTCATGCATGGGATTAAAATAAAACAAAAACAGACATTGTGTGTAGATGAAATAATTGTATTCCCTAATGCGCTGTCAGGTTCTCCTCAAAGTTTAAAGAAGGAGAAGTAACAACAATGCACAGAGATGATCTTCCTGTCTTAAAGGAACTTCTGAGTCAGTCAGTGGAGCCCATAGAGGTGACATCATTGGCCTTTGTTGTTGTATTGTTTTCTAAATTTGTTTAATTGCTCAAGAACTCTTTGAAACTTCTCTTTATTTTTCTCTCAAATTGTTTCAGACTGCAGGTCTTCATCCCACTGCTGAACAGATTGAGATGTTTGCCTACCATCTTCCTGATGCAACACTGTCTAACCTTGTGGTGAGTGTCCCCAGTTATTCTTTCATTGCTCTTGAACTCTCATATCTGAGTACAAAATGTGTATAAATTAATTTATTTCCCACAGGACATCTTCGTGAGCCTCTCTCAAGTGGACGGCATGTATTTTGTCTGCAACATCGATGATTTTAAGTTTTTGGCTGATATGATTCAGCATATCCCTTTAAATCTGAGGTCTCGCTATGTCTTCTGTACAGCCCCAATCAACAAGAAACAACCGTTTGTTTGCACTTCTTTTCTAAAGGTGATAGCTTTAGACTCTTAATACATAAAATCTGATTATTTTATTGACAAGTATTGTAAAACAACCACATTTTGTATTGCTTTTTTAGTTTGCTCGTCAGTTCAGTCGAGACGAGCCACTGACATTTGACTGGGTGTGTCGTCATATTGGCTGGCCTCCGCTCGCACCAAAAAACATTAAGGATTTGGTGCACTTAGAAGCAGTACATGATGTTCTGGATCTTTATCTCTGGCTAAGGTATGCTTTTGTAATAACCGTTTTGAAATGTGACAAAAGACTCTAATAATGCGCTTCTTATCCTTTTGTAGTTACCGATTTATGGACATGTTTCCAGACACAATATTAATACGACAAATCCAGAAAGACCTTGATCAAATTATTCAAGATGGAGTTCGAAACATCACTCGTCTTATCAGAGCATCGGATCCTGTTACTGTCACTGACCCTCTCCAAAACGCCAAACCAGACCAAATGGCCGACCGTGGTCTTTCTCTGAAGGTGCAGAGAGGGAGTAGAGCTGCGATCGACAGCTCACTGACCAGCCGCCTTGTAAGAGACGGCCTCCTGACTCCTGATATGATTCAACAGCTGCAGAGGGAATGGTCCAAAGAATCAGACACTGCAAAACACAGTGCTCTTACAAACAGTTTAAAAACTGACAAAGGAAAACAAAGGAAAAAGAAGAAATAGAAGAAATTCTGCATATTATGGTCATAATGCCTCCGTGAAAAATTATGTTTGCTTATTGTATCATGTTGAACTTGTTTAAAGGTCACCCACAGCTAAACTAATAACATAGAAGAATTTATTTTTATAGTTAAAATTGTGTTATAACTTGCACAATAACTCAAGGGATTACAGCATGTCAACCATTTTATTCAATAAAACCTTTAGGGTATATTGCTAAATAAATATATATTTAAAATACTGCGTATAGTGTACATAATTAGTTGTATTTAAATGTGTATGAATTTCAGAGGAAATATCTTATATTTTGCATGACAGAAGAACATATAGGAGCATAAAGTGAGAGAAGAGGGATTGGCTTTTTGTTAATCATTGAGTCGGGTCAGAGATTACAGTGTACAGCTGTCTCAGGGGGACAACACAACATGCACGTATGAATTCAAGGGTAGAAAACAACTCCTGTTACCTTTTTACATTGATTTAGTAAAGGTTTTTTTTTTCCTTTTATGTATTGTAGCACCATGTTGGCTGCCCATTTAATTGCATTTTACCTCTCCAAACCTCAGGAGGACCCCATAAATAAGGTAAGATTGTTGTGTGACTAGTGCATACCCTGAACTAACAAACAAATGCAATATCTAAAGGAAATACTGGAGACAACGCTGATTGTAGGAGGTGGAGATCATAAGATCACATTTGACCTGCAAACATGTTTCCTGTTTTGATTGTATCTAAAAGATAAAGCAGCCAGTCTAGTGACACCAATGAGTTCATCTAGATCATTTAGAATTTATCAAATGGAGCTGAAATGCAAATGTTTTGGTCAAACTCTTTATGCAAACTAACTTTATTTTAGGTAGATGGATTTCTTCGAGCCATGTGTCTACAAGAAGAACAATTAAAAGATGTCTCAGTCCTGTTTGAGGCTGAAATGAAAAAAGGGCTTTCATCAAAAAGCAGAGCTAGAGCTGCAGTAAAGATGCTCCCAACACATGTGTGCTCCTCCCCCTATAGCTCAGGTCTCACTACCGCCTTATATAAATCACATGCAATTAAACATCTGCATTATTGGCCACATTCTTTTTAATAATTAGTTAAGTTGGTGATTACAAAAGCTGCACTTTTGTTCCAGAGAAGGGACAGTTTTTGGCCTTGGATTTGGGTGAATCAAATTTTAAAGTTCAGCAAATTGAACTTGGTGATGAAGTTGACTATAGATGTAAAGAGGTGAAAATACAAGAGAAAATAGTTCCAATTCCAAAACAACTTCTAAATAGCAGAGCAGATGAGGTGAGTCAATAGAAACATTAATCAATAAATGTAGAATAGAATAAGGCTGTAATTTATTTGTTTTTCTGTAGTTATTTAACTTTGTTTCAAGATCCTTAAAACAATTTATGCATGAGAAAAACATAGGTTTTGTGAGGAAACACGCTCTGGCCTTCACCTTCTCTTTTCCTTGTGAACAACCCACCTTAAACCAGGTAAAACTCCTTTATTTTGCCCATACACCAAAATAATACAATAAAAATTATTGAGCCTGTAACGATGTATGATTTTTAATTTTCTTCTCAGGGACTCTTGGTAAACTGGACTAAAAATGTCAGAACTCCAGGCCTTCAAGGAAGAGATGTTGCTCATGCTCTGAAAAGTGCAATTGAAAGAACAGGGGTAGGTGGCTATGTTTTGTTCAAAAATAGTATAATTTACAGTAAAGAAGTAATAACAAATGAAATAACTATTGACATAGATTTTGATTAATTTTTTTTTTAATTTTAATAAAATTTAATAAAAAAAATTTCATTTATTTAAATCACTCAACAGTCAATAATCACTCATGACTGAAAGTTCTACTATTTCAAGTACAAAAACCTTCTCTCTGGGCTTTACCATAGACCTGGGCATTGGTGGTGGTATAAACTGCCTCTGTAGCCGCACTTAATGTGGGGTTGACGCTTAGCAATTGAAATGTCTTGCTCAAGCACACAATGGCATAATGAGCTGGTTGTTACCCGGTGAACCATTGGCAGTCATAAAGTGCATGTTTAAAGCCCGGTGCTGCTTTTCAAAAAACAATACCATAAATAAATCTCCCTGTTATTTCATGCAGCCTGACCATGCTGCAACTCTTGCTGGTTTTCCTAAAAATCACAAATGGTACTTGACCATTACAGGGTATGGATATTGACATTGTTGCACTGGTGAATGATTCTGTTGCAACTATGATGACTTGTGGATTTGATGACCCTGAGTGTGAAGTTGGGCTCATAATTGGTTAGTCCTTTTCTACTTTTTAAAATTTGGTTGTAGCCTACATAATTGTGTTATCAACAGTTTGTTAAATGTCGTATTCATAGGATCAGGCACGAATGCATGTTACATGGAGGAGCGGCGTTACATTGACTTAGTGGAAGGAGACGAGGGCCGAATGTGCATTAACAGTGAGTGGGGAGCATTTGGAGATGATGGAGCTTTGGACAACTATATAACTGACTTTGACATAGAGCTAGATGCAGCATCCACCAATCCTGGAAAACAAAGGTTAAGAATAACACAAATGATGAACCACACTGCTAAAAACCTGCTATAACTTTCTGTAAAACATGCATAGCTTTGAAAAAATGGTAAGCGGCATGTACCTGGGGGAGCTGGTAAGACTGGCTGTATTAAAAATGGCCAAACAAGGACTTCTATTTCAAGGATCTGTGCCAAATGCTCTGAAAGCCAAAGGGAAGATTGCCACAACACATCTAGCTGCCATAGAGGAGTAAGTTTTGATTATTTTGCATTTGTTTAGATGGGTTGTTTGATGAATGTACTATATATCCCACAGTGTTCAAAGAGGTCTTCAAAACACCAGAGACATCCTCATGGGACTGGACTTAACCCCCTCTGTTGAAGATTGCATAGCTATTCAGCGTGTGAGCACTATAATAACCAAGAGGTCCTCTAATCTAGTGGCTGCATGTCTGTCATCAATCTTGACTCGGATCAAACAAAACAGAAGATCGACACATGTTACTGTAGGTGTGGATGGTGAACTCTACAGAAGACATCCACAGTAAGTGTAATCTCAATCATTTTACAGATGCACCTAATAACTTTTCTGGTTTGGGGTCCACCTCCTGCTTCTCTCCATGGAAATATAATTCTGATTAATAATAACTCAAGTTCTATATAGCGCTGATCAACAAACCTGGCTGAAATGCTCCTTAGTGTGGCATTTAACTTACAGTATCTCAGTATCTTAATCTTACAAGTAGTGAAGATTTGAAAAACACACATTATTACTGTGATTAGGATTGACCTTTCCATAGATCTGACTAAATTTATTGTCATACCCTATGGCATTTTATTTTTGCTTGTACGTAGACATTTATCTATTTATTCCTTATTTGACACTAGTCTCTTGATATTTTTTCTACTTATTTAGAATTTATTATTATTGTTTATATTTGTTCTCTTTGTTATTAAAATATATTGTGATGTGTGAGCTACTGTGTCCTAGTAATTACCCTTGTGGCAAATGAAGAACATCTCCGCAGAGACAAGACAATGCCTTCCTTCCCCTCCAGCAAGACCAAGACATTTACAAATATATATGTGTGTGTGTGTGTGTGTGTGTGATCTTACACAAATGCTCAACTTCCTTCAGCAATCTTTAGTTGATCCTCATTCCCAAAGCAGTTACAAGAATTAACCACTAGAGGTCATTAAATGTTTACTCTAAAGTCAGTTCATTTGCAGATATTCCAAGCGCCTCCAGAGGGCGGTGCAGAGGTTGATCCCTGACATCTGTGTGAGGTTTGTCACGTCTCCTTGTGGCACTGGCACAGGAGCCGCTCTCATTACAATGGGAGCTAAACATGCAGCATGGAAAAGGCAACAGGTGAGTTTGTAGCGTTGAGTCCATCATCAACAACAATAAGTCAACTTTTATACTTTGATTCTGTGAAAGGTTGATGAGACGGTTCATTTGTTTAAACTAAGCCAAGAGCAACTCGTTTTGGTAAAATCAAAGATGACAGCAGTGCTTGAATCTGAAATGAAGATGCTGCCCTCAATTATTTATCATTTACCAAATGGTACAGGTATGAAAATCTGGTAACCCTTTATAATAACAAAATCTTAACTGACCGTAATAAAGCATAAAGAAAGACTTAATGAATATAATGAACAAATAGTTTATTAAGAATGATTCAGCTTGGTAACTACTTAATCCTATATTACACAAAACTGAGTCTTGTGAGCTGTAAGCCATGTTAGAATGTTTTTACCTCATCAAAAACGTACTTGGAGTCGTGTTGTGTTTCATGTTTGAGTAATCATTTATTATTAGTCTTCCTCTCTCTGTTCAGTTGAGATTGGCAATTCCAGTCTGAAATTATTCATATAGTTCTAGTGAATGGAGTTTAAAAACACAGTGGAGTGCTTTCTGTGTGAGAGAAGAACTCAGCCAAAATACGTAGGATTTATGTGTTGAACGTGTGAATGAAACAAAACACAACTTCAAGTATGTTTGTGATAAGGAATCAACACTATAACTTAGATCAGAAATTAGTGCAATATGGGCCCTTGAATTATTACATTAACTCCTAACCCCTTAATTAAATAGTTACTAAGCCTGATTCTTTTATGATTTTAGTCTTTCTTCACACTTTATTAAGTCTGTAAATGATGGAGTATAAAATGTTACCAAATCTGATCTCAAATAGGCATGAGGGAAATTATTATGAATTTCAACTTTACATCTAGAGTCAGGACAGTATCTCGGTTTGGAGCTGGAGAAAACACATGTCAGGGCTATGCTGGTGAACATCAGAAATGGTCGGCCTCTACACCACACAAACCATCATCACAAGATCTATGAAGTTCCCCTGCAGCAGTTACACAAAAGTGGAGAGGAGGTTGGATACTCATCAGATGTGCAAAATATGCCATTGTTTTATTGTATTGCTTTAAATTTGATGAATATATTTGTTTTTGTTGCAGTTTTATGACCATGTAGCACAGTGCATTTCTGACTTTTTGGATTTTGTCGGCATGAAAAACACTTGTCTCCCAGCGGCCCTTACAGTTTCTTTTCCTTGTGAGCAAACAACAGTTGAAAAGGTGAAAACTAATGTCCTTCAGAACTTAAAGTTGCACTGTGTAATTTTTCTGGTAGACTGTCTGCTGTCTGCTTCTATATGGACATGTTATTGCTTTGTACCGAACTAGGGGAATGTTCCCCAATGTGGTTATTAAACCTAGCAGTGTCCATGGAGACAAATAGGAAACACCATCAAGCCAAATGACAGGTCAGATCTGTAGAAAGGCGACCCTGTTCACAGTAACAGTGCATTATTATTGTGAGCAAGATTGCCTTTCCATAGATCTGACTAAATGTCATAGACTGTATACGTTTCTAGGCCAAGGAATAACATTTCTCCATAGACAAGACAATGGCAAGAAATCAAGCAAGATGTTTACATAGTGCACCTTTACTTAAAATAACTAATAATATTTCTTAGCAATAACTGCAAAATGCAAAATAGATATGTTTAATGCCATACTGAGGAACACTGCAGACAAAGAAATAGCATCCCCATGGAGACAAGCACAATGCACCACTTTTATGCTGGACACTGTGTTGAAGGCCACAGACTGTGAGGGGCAGGACGTTGTCACCATGCTCAGAGAGGCCATAGACAGACGTGCTGTGAGTTACACGAGGACACAGTGTTAGTTAAACATATTTGGGTCAGATGTTTTTTTAAATTGCTCAAAACACTTCTTATTTTTCATAGACTTTTGACTTGGACATAGTGGCAGTTGTGAATGATACTGTGGGGACCATGATATCCTGTGCTTACGACGATTCTCAGTGTGAAGTTGGACTGATTGTTGGTATAAGACCATTTTCAGCAAACAGTGCTTTACATGTTTTATGGGCTTATGTGAAGTGTGTCGTTCTGTGCTTTAAAGGAGCTGGGGTCAATATTTGTTACATGGAGGAGTTGAAGCACATTAAATTTGCATTTAGAAAAGAAGTCTTCACCAAAGTTAAAGAGGTAATGGGAAATAAATATTTTAAAACACTTTCTGGTTGTATCTGCTTGTGACACTTTTACAGAGTGATATGACGTGTGCAGAAGAAACAGGAGACACAAGTAAACAGAGGATGTGTATAAACACAGAGTGTGGACGACTTGGGGAAAATGGGTCCCTTAATGACATAATAACAACTTATGACATTCAGGTGGACTTAAACTCACAGCACCCTGGAAAACAACGGTATGAAGCATAACATGGAGAACATAGAGATCCAAACTAAATATTACTTTTGTTATTTGTGTTTCAGATTTGAGAAGCTGACCAGTGGGTTGTATGTGGGGGAGGTTGTACGTCAGGTTCTGCTAGATTTGACCAGCAGGGGTCTTCTGTTCAAAAATGATGAGAATATTGCTTTGAAAACACCCGGGTTGTTCCATATTAACTCTCTGTCGCAAATAGAGAGGTAAGACTCAATGAATGCGATGTGAACATGCACGTGAGTTTCAAAACACTTAAGAGATCACTAAAAATGTTGTGTTGTACCCCTAGTGGTCGTGTTGGAGTGGTACAGGTCAGGTCTATTCTCCAACAGCTGGGACTTGAAAGCAGCTGTGATGACAGTGTTTTTGTTAAAGAGGTAATTTATACTGAATGTGTGCTTAAAAGCTTAAAAATCATTCAGAAAAGAACAACGAAAAGAAACTAAATGGCTGAAGTTAAAGAAAGAAGGAATAAAAGCAAAAGAAAAATTTAACTCAGAATTAAATTTTTCTTTAGCTCTGGATCATACATGGACAAATGAGAGATTACACGGAAGAAGAAATCATTAACAAACTTTATAACTTAAAATTGACCTTCGTCACTATAAAACAATGCTGATCACAAATATAATGGAAAAGTTATACCTTCAGGCACAGACAGTACAAAAATGTCTTTCAGTTGTAACCTCACCCTAACCATTTGTAACACGTTTTAGTGGTGACATCACTTTGGCAAATTATGGCTGCAATAGTTTCCTGCAGTCATGAAGGGGATTTCTTATTGAGCAGGTCTGTTGCGCCGTGTCACGTCGCGCAGCTCAGCTCTGTGGAGTGGCGGTCGCTGCTGTAGTTGATCAGATGAGAGAGAATCGAATGGAGGACAGTTTAAGCGTTACCGTGGCAGCAGACGGAGATCTTTACAAAATGCATCCTCAGTGAGTTTGTTGAAATATTTTACTATTTACTATATTTTACTATAGAGTTACTGATGTGTTTGTGTTTAATAGTTTCTCTAGAATTCTCAAAGAGACAGTGAAAAGTCTAGCCCCTGAGTGCACAGTGACCTTTATGACCTCAGAAGAAGGAAGTGGGAAAGGAGCCACTCTTATTGCTGCAACAGCCAGACCGAGACAGGAGAAGTCATAACAACGTCACACCATTTTTCTTAACCTTTAAACTGGTCTAAAATTCAAACAAGTCTAGATCCTGACCTGATTCTGGGTGCCAGCTGTCCAAAGCTCCTGTGCATACTGCCTCTGGTGTATGAATTTGTGTGTCAGTTGAGATTTCCTCTCAAATTTTGGTAACTAATAAAATAAAAGATGAATGTTGATAACTTATGTTTAAACAATTAGTTTAGGTTCTGTTCATGCAGTGGCTTGTGATGCCTGTCTGTCTTTCTGTCCATCAACATTATTTTGCTCCACTTGCTGGCTGACACATTGTATTTTACATAATCTGAAATGAAAACAAACCCCCAGCAAACACTTAAAGCTCCTATATTATGCAAAACTGACTCTTGTGAGGTTTAAGCCATTTTATAATGTTGTAACCTTTTCATATATTATTACATAAATTTATATATTTTTGTTTCATTCACACGTTTGATTAACCCTTTATTATTAATGTGTCTACATCCAAAGCTCAAGATGCCCTGTTCCACCTTGTGATGTCATGAGATGGGAGTTTTTGAAGTTTTCTAAATTATTCTAGTGAAAGTATGTGGAAAATTGTATAATATAGGATCTTTGAAAATCTTGTGAGAAAAGCTCTACAGTAAAATCGATAAATTACAACTAAACACAAGTTTATGTGAAATAACATTATATATAAATACACACAATAAAACTATATCCAAAGGAGGTAAAATATAAATAAACCTTGTCTGAAGCATCGGTAAAGTAGCTATAGGTGCAACTTTGTTCTTAGCGCTGTCCTGTGAACTAGCATTTAATCTGAGCAGGATTAGGATGTGACTAGGCAACAGTCCCAGAGCACTGTCACTTCACCTATAATCCCACACTGTGTGGTGATGACCTGCTCCAGTTTCACCGCTAGAACTCACAGTACCTCTTTGTTACTGGACCTAGAAATATCCAACCTGGTGTTAATCATATACACAATTTAAATCATAAATTGTATAAGGAAATTGTAAATCTTGTGAACTAAAGTATTTTTGGCAATGTGACTGTGGGAGACTGAGTGGGATTTTGTCTTTGTCTTCTTGCATCAATAAGAGCTTTGATAAAAATGGTAAGCAGTCGGTGCACACTGTAGACCGACATTTTTTAGGTAAATTTCAGCATTTTTGTTTCATTTTAGATTTAAAATAAAAACTTGACCACAACTTTCAAATCATCACTGCAAAACGTGAGATGGATTCAGATGAGGACATGGATGTCTTCTCAGAAAAGGTAATAGTTTACAGCACCATAATGTAGCCGAATGCAAAATACATGGATTTATAATGAAAATGTTAGATACAATATTTGTGAAGAAAAGAAATACTGCTGCTAATGTTAAGGGTTTTCTTTTCAGACAGAGATCATTTATTTTCGTATCGCAATATATTAATTGATTAGTGAATATTTTTTTAAATCACATTTGGATATCAGGTAGCCTAAGTTAAATTGGCAAAATGCTACAAAGATATGAATAACAATAACAAAGGACCAAACATATAACTATTATGAAGTACTGTGGGTAATTTTATAGTCCTTTCATATTGTCTGGTTTAAACTTCAATTAACACATTATAGAGATGTTTTAGCACATTTCTGGTGAATTGCAAAAATATCTCTGCAATCCAGGGACAAAATTCTCACCCTACTACAAGATTTTATAAACGTCATCATTATTTGGTTTTAGAATCACTAACCACACACACAGATGTCATTCACTCTTGACGTGAGGGGTGTGACAGCCGTGCTCACAGCTCCTTCTTGTGTTTGAGCAGGTGGTCAGCTGCTGAGACCCTCTAAATATATCAAGTGTCATGACACAAAAGAAGGATTAGTTTATTGTTTTCTACAACCCATTGTAAATCTTATGATCTTCTTGGATATTACTGCTGATTTGTTTTAAGGCAGTGGGGCAGGGCACAATATACTTAATTGATATTATTGATCCTATTGATTATGTATAAATCTCCTTCAAAAAGTAGCCTGCCAAAAAAGTAGCTATAGTATTCCTATTAAAATGTATGGAAAATAAAATGGAAATTAAAGTTTTGACCATATGTAATTCTGTCTGAAAACATCAGACTTCTTTGTGGTTGACTTTTTTCTGTATGGCAAAAGAAATTACTTCAGTTCATAATGTGGTCTGTTGTTAAAAATTTCCATCATTACTCTATCCACAGGATGAAATAGTCCAGATCTTATTCTTACACACCATACATCGCTCTAAATTAGAATAAACTTTAGCCTGACACATTAGTTCGCCTTGTTAATAGGTCCTATGTTAATGTTAATGCTAATAGGCCCTATGTTAATTTCTCAATGTGACCCTCTTTTACAAGTAAAATATACTTATACATGAGAGCTTATTTATCTTTATTGAGTTCATTTATCACTCTTCATTGTCCTCATTAGGCTATATAACGTGATTTGGCGAGGTTATTTTTTTGAGCCATATCTTGTAGTGACTAATTTTGTAACGCGGGCCTACGTGATGAGAGTCATTCTTTTCCTACTTTACATATGTTAATTCGTTCTCTCACCTCCTGCCCACATGGCTCACAGCTCCTCCATCACCGCTTTTGCCTCCAGAGCGTCCGCCGCGCTGCAGCCAATCCTGGCCCGGCTCGAGTCCTTCACGCGGCTGGACCAATGAGCGCGCGCATCGTAAACTGGGCTCGGCCTCTGCGCTTTACCCGCCTCTCCACGCTTCTCCTGCGGCTAAACTTTGCTGTCCCATTCGTGTTTCCTGGCTCCACTCACATGCGCTGACAAGGAAGAGCCGAAGTGTCTGTTTTATTCCGCGATAATTTGGAGTATATGTAAATTTGGTGGTGAGATTTACGATCATTTTTATGTAAAAAGTAGAGACAGGAAAGTTTTCGTGCGTCTGTCTGTGAGAGCGTAACCAGGATGATCGCAGCCCAGCTACTAGCTTATTACTTCTCTGAACTCAAGGATGACCAGGTTAAGAGGGTAAGGCTTTACTTTTCTTTCAAAATAAGTGTCATGTGTGAATGTTTGTAAAAAGTGGCACTGATGAAGTGATGCAACGCTAGACGATGTGGAGGTCAACGAGTTCTTCCAACTTCACTGGAATGAACCATTTCCTTAGTGTGTTTGGATTGTACTTTTGGATTATCTGGGTCATGAATCAGTGTCAAGGATACCGACCTGCCCCACTAGGATTTAAATAAACTGGTCAGTAGGATGTGACTGTGCAAATGCCAGCCGTGAGTAGTAGGCCAAGTACATGATGTAACCAACGTGGAAGTCATTGACGAGAAGTAGCTCTCTGGAAAGTGATGAACTCAGTGGGCTAGTGTAGGCTATTACAGGGTCACAATCAAGCTAATCGTGGTATTTTGTTAGTTTTCTTTGTCTTCCTATAATTTTGCCTTATAATGTATATGCTGTTAAAGTTTTGGCCTTCAATGATCTCTGTTGCAATGTGTGTGAGGATGAAACTTGAGCTTTCCCAGTCCTCCGCTGTGGCCTATTTCCAGGTATAAATGTCATTTAAGGTGATGTTATCAACAACCTTTTTCTGCTGTGTAAATTTGAATTACTTGACCTTCTTAACCTTTGTAAACATAGTTATTCTTTTCACATTTTGAAGTCTGGTTATGTTTTAGTGGAAACCTTGTTCCAAGAGGCTGGGTTCCTTTAAAACCGCTTTCTGATGAAGTCACACTTCCATGCAGTTAGAGCATCACAGGGTATTTCTCTCTGTAATAGGTTGAGTAATCACCCCCTTCCTGTCTTCTTTCTCCTCCTTCTTTTGTACTCAAATATCATGATTTAGTCTTATTTGGTACACTTAAAATAGGTGTAGACTTGGTTTGGCCCAGTTGTGGTTTATATGGTGTAGTCCAGGCTTAGTTCCGGGTTTAGTCAAAGTACAGCTCCTTTTTTATGTAGTGCCTGTACAACGTAACCTCCACGGAAGAAATTACTGTGATGCAATAAAATAACAAATACCAAACAACAAATAATTGAATTAGAATAAGAAATGTAATTACTAAATAATGAAGGGTCAATTTATGGCCTACCACAACAGTAAAATAAGTGGAATACAACACAAATTTGTGCAACAGTAAGTGAATGAGTCAGTGTAACCTTGTTATTTGGTGTGTTATTTGACCAAATGACCAAATCTCTCTCACTCTGCACTGCTGTCTCTTCCGCTCCTTCTCCTCCCTCAAGTACAACTTTAGGTCATGCCATCAAAGGTGAGCAGAGGAGAGCTTACACACAGATGCACTGGTGAACACTGCACCAGGTGTGTAGCTGCTGAGGAGGGCATGAAAGAGCTGCCTGTTCACAAAGTAGAGACTTATGTTTGAAATTAAAAAGGTGATGTTAGTGTTTCGACTATGCGTGTCATGGCAGGTTTAGGCAGGTCCTGCATGTTCTGTAACTCTGATATATTGTCCTTGAGTGTACTTTATCTGCATGTCTACTTTGCCATGTAGCTAGCTGTGCTAGGCTAAATGCAGGAAGTGTAAATTAGAGCGGAGGACAGTATTTTTCCACATGGCTTTGTGGTGCATGTGCACACATGAGCGTCAGGTTTCAGAGCGTCCCCTGAACACGTCACACTGACGAGAACAGTGCATTGTCAATGGAGGAATGCAAACAGAAACGACAGATGCAGAGAGGAGGGGTGGAGGAGGCCACAGTGAAGGAGAGCTGCTGCAGACAGGAGAAAGTTGTGTGTGAGGTGTGTTGACAGGACAACACAGCCTTTACACACACATTGTTGTAACATATATACATATTCGTCCTGTAAACACCAGTAACAGACAACAAAACCAGAAGCTGCACTATTGTTATTGAAAATGTAGATACAGATGTTTTATCTTTATTTTGAAAACAAAACTGTTGTTAGAAAGTAAAAACTGCTGTAACCCTTACGTTCTCTATTTCAACATGTGACAGTGAGGGGTGCACATGATCTGAGGTAAAAATATCTCCTTTCAACACATGTTTGTGACCACCACACTGTGTTTAACACTCATTTACTACATTACACATATGTAAAATATACATAAAAATAGTAACTTGAAGCCATGTGTGTAGACCATGTTGTAGTTCAAAAATGGTAACATATATGTTTTACTTTAAATTATTACACCTGTCAAATGGAGCACTGGTAGTGCATTACATTGTACTCTCAACATTTAGACTGAATGTAAGGAATGTCATGCCTCCCATGATTACAGACTGTAGCAGCAGACACATGATGTTAACAAGTCTAGGCTTGCTACAACCAAATATTTACCCTGTTTTCAAATTCTTATTTGAGCTTTTATGTGTTATGGTTGTTTCAAAAGTTCTGATACTCTTTCTAAATCTCTTGGCAAAACTTTTCCAAAGTTACTGTTTTTTGAGGAAATGGTTCATGTGTGATTAGTTACCAAAACAGGAAGTACAGGATTCCCGTTCGTCCGTTACACAAGGTTCAATTGTACTTGTTCTATACAGTTACAAGGAGGAGTAACTCTTTTGTCTTATTATGTCCACTATATTCTTACCATGTTTAGCATTTTTCTAAATTCATATTTTCAGTTTCGTAATTAGGTACAGTAACATTTTATCAGCATTATTTAACTTCCTGTTCACAAAAGTGCGTTTAGTTATGGATATGATAGTTAATCTTTATTAATTTACACATGTCCACACCTGCAATATAAATCATATCATGCTCTTTGAGAAACCATGTGTCCTTCAATGAGCTTATGACTAATGAATTTCAGTTAACAGTTAACTTTGACACATTTATTACATTTAAAGAGCTTTTGATAGCATAATGTTCCTGTCTGTATCAGTGGGACTGTGATATTCTACACAAAATATGATTTAAATATATGGCAGTGTAAACAGTAGCAAATATGTGTTGTATTTCAGATTGACAAGTACCTGTACTCCATGCGCTTCTCTGATGAGACACTGTTGGACATCACACAGAGGTTTCGCAGGGAGCTGGTCAAAGGACTAGGACGGGATACGAACCCCACGACTGCCCTAAAAATGCTGCCGACATTTGTGCGCTCAATTCCAGATGGATCAGGTTTGTATCTTAAAGCCCCCCATGAAATGACCAACTCCAGTGATTAATCATATAGATAGGAATGGAAAGTATGGCTGTATTATTACTGAAACAGAGCAGTAGTTACATCAAATATTGCAGGAAATGTATAAATAGAATCTATTATATTATCTAATATATAAATCTATTGTTTTTTTTCTTTCTTCTATTATTTCTGTAAATATTCTATTGAGATGTCCTCAAGTTAAATCACCTAAGCTTCCTTTGGGTCATATTCCATCTTTTTAATTATATTACTTTATCTAATGATTAATAAAAAAATTATTGCCCTTAGTAAAATTATATGTAGGTTGTGCTATAACAGAATAAAAAACCTTGTCCTATAATAACTAACTAGAAACAGTAATTTGCACTTTGCACATTTATTACGTAAAGTTGTGTAGTCATAGTTAGTTCTTTAATATTACTGGATAAATATTTGTCAGCTAACATTGAGCTCTATCTGTGTTAAAGGGTGAGGTAATGAACTGCTTAACTTGAATACTCAAGACTGTACTGTACTTTATTGAGTGTATTTTATTCAGTGCGTACATGATTGGGCACAATTGGCGTACTATATTTGTGTAAGGATTTGATAAGCAAAGATTGTCTTCGGTGGTGAATGGTGTATTTGTGATTTAAAACTGCTGCTTTCAAATTAAAGGTCTGACTCATTTCCCTTTTGAAATTGTAGTTTATTAGTATTGGTGTATAGCAATAAATTGATGGAAATCGATCATTAAAGAGCCTATATTACACATATGTTTTTGATGAGGAAACAACATAATAACATAGATCAGCAAATACCATAATTTAGGACCTTTAAGATTAGGAGATGCTTCATCAATAATATTTTTCCATGTTTTGTTCATTCAGAAAAGGGAGATTTCATTGCCTTAGATTTGGGTGGCAGTAACTTTAGGATCCTCCGTGTGAAAGTGAGCCACCAGAAGAAACAGACTGTTCAAATGGAGAGTGAAATCTATGACACACCTGAAGACATTATTCACGGGACAGGACAAAGGGTAGGTTTATTTAACATGTAAACAGGTTATTTAATGGTGCACTAAGTAACTTTTCTGCTTGTCTCATGAAGACATTTGTTTCACAGTATGATATTAAACTAATCTCTCATTATGTATGGGTGATTTTATTGCTGAACAGTACATTGAGAAACATGCATTCTTACTTTGAGCACAGTCACCTCAATTCACTGAAATTATCTATAACTTGCCTCATTGGTGTTGCCTTCTTGTCTCAGTGGAAATGGGAATTTAATGCCCTGATAGTGCACCTGATATCTCAGCATCAGGGACTATTCATAATTACATTGACTTTTATCTTCTAGCTGTTTGACCATGTGGCGGAGTGTCTGGGTGACTTTATGGAAAAACACCACATCAAAGACAAGAAGCTACCTGTTGGATTTACTTTCTCCTTTCCCTGCCAACAAACTAAACTAGATGAGGTACTGGGCCACGCTTTTTAAATATATTTGATTATTCCTATACAGTACCTAAGGACACAATATAAAAATACTCCTTTGACTTCAGTATCTGGTCTTTTATTTCAGGGATATCTTATAACTTGGACAAAACGCTTCAAAGCTAGTGGTGTAGAGGGAATGGATGTTGTGCAGTTGTTAAATAAAGCTATTAAAAAACGTGGGGTAAGTAATTTTTCTCCAGTTAGTGTTTATTTTTTCTCCAGCTTAGTGTTTTACTTTTTAAGTTTGTGTATATCAGACTGTTTGTGTTGTTATATTCCAGGACTATGAAGCAGACATTATGGCAGTGGTGAATGACACAGTGGGAACAATGATGACGTGTGGATTTGATGACCAGCGCTGCGAAGTTGGAATTATTATTGGTAAAGTGATTATTTCAACTTTCAACACCAGAAAAGTTACATAGTGTACCTTTAAAAAAAAAAAAGTATAAATAAAGTAAAAAAAAAAAAAGACAAATAAGTACTGTAAGTATTTACAAAGAGGGTTTTGATATGCAATCAGGTATGTACGGAGGAGCATTAACACAAACTGCATTAGTAATGCATAATATAATCACAAATGTTATTGGTATATAGGGCAACTCTTTTTCATTTGTAATCTATATAATCTGTACCTGACAAAGACTGGAGTTAAAGGTGCATTGTGTAAGTTTTCTGGTGGAGGGTCCATCAAATGCTTTTCTCCTTGGAGATGTTATTGCTTTATGTGGAATGTTTCACAGTATGGTATTAAACGTTTCTCACTCATGGAGACCAAACCAGACCAAGTTACAGGTCAGATCTGTGGAGAGGCGTCCGGCTGTTTTTTTAGGTATTTTTGAACTATCAAACCACCTGTAATTTAACAAATGTACGATAGAGCTGTGTAATGCCATACTTTGGAACATTCCAGGCAGAGCATTGACATATCCATAGAAACAAGCAGATAACGGATCCCCAACCAAAAAGTTGCATAGTGCACCTTTAATTATATAAAATAAAATAAAAGTGTGAGTTTAAGTGACAAATATCAGTACTTTAATGTTTCTGATGCTTTTTGTGTTCAGGTACTGGCACTAATGCGTGTTACATGGAGGAGCTGCGTCACATTGACTTGATGGAGGGGGACGAGGGCCGGATGTGTGTGAACACTGAGTGGGGGGCTTTTGGAGACGACGGCGGACTGGAGGACATCAGAACCGAGTTTGACAGAGAGATAGACAGAGGCTCACTGAACCCTGGAAAACAGCTGTACGTTCATGTATACTATAGCACTGGTTGTAAGGATCAATGCTATGCTAAATTACTTTTTAGAGCTTTCAACAATGTGATAATGCTGTTTCATCATGGACTGTATATATAAATGGATATAGCTAACTCACTAGCCGCCACATTACAAAGGAGAAGTGAGCATGGGCGTGCTGCCGGTTCCACTGAGTCTGGTTCCAGTTGACTTTATGTTGAAAAATTGTCACCCTCTCTCTGTAACTGTGGCAGTCATCATTTTGGTCTTAAATTGTGTTTCTATTTCGTCATTTTGTTTGTAAATAAATTCCTAATCCAAATATAGAACTCTGCTCCAAATTTGCATCTGTAAGTGCTAGCCTTGCAATCTTCATATGAGTGGAGCCGAACGTTACAGGTGACGTCACACTCACTTAGTCCACTTCTTTATACAGTCTGTGGTCAACATCTGTAACGTCCTCCGCTTCACCCCTCAGCATACTGTAGCCACTCAGTTTATTTTTATTCTTCTTCACCATTTACCTTATTCTCATCATGTAATGGCTCAAATTGCCCCTATTGTGCAATTTAGAAAAGTGGATGCCAGCTACTGTTATTTTTAGCTTCATGGAAACTTTACCTTTCAATGTGCCAGGAGATGCCGTCGTCCCCCTGCACCCTCCGTTGGCATTTTGTATAGACATTTTTAACAAAAGCTTTGGCATATTTACATTATTTTAACATATTTAAAACCTTTATTGATGTTAACTAAATGTAATATTTTATAGATTTGAAAAGATGGTTAGTGGCATGTACATGGGGGAGTTGGTTCGTCTCATTCTGGTGAAGATGGCTCGAGAAGGTTTGTTGTTTGAAGGCAGGATCACACCAGAGCTCCTCACCAAAGGCACCATAGAAACCAAGCACATCTCAGCGATGGAAAAGTAAGGCCTTGTATAAGAAATATAATATAATAATGTGCCGACATCCTTTTACTCTTTTTGTCTTATTTATTATTTCTCTTTAGGAACAAGGAGGGACTGTCCCGGACCAAAGAAATTTTAACCAAACTTGGTGTTGAGCCTTCATCAGATGACTGTATAGCTGTACAACATGTAAGTATGAATTAGACCCTTTAAAATAGATTGTCAGAAACTCAAATTTCCATAATGGAGGCACCGTTATAAATTAGGGTATAGATGTCAATTAGTTTGCTTTTCTATTATAGAGGATAGAAAAAAAATGTAGCCTCAACATTCTATTTGAGATTAACTAAAGTATTTCATATTTTGTAATAAAATATCTAATACAGTTGTGGATGAAAAGAAAAGAAATCATAATAAAAGTGTCTATAAAATAAACAGATTATGTAAAAACAATTGTTAATGTCTTTGAAATTGTCAGCCCCCTCGGTTGTTCATATTTAGTGATATTCTGTAGTTTATCCCATTTCTCCATTGAAATCACATTATGCTGCACTTCAATTTTTACATTTGCCTTCATTCCGTAACAAACTTTAAACTGTTTTAATTCAAATGATAATATAAATTTTATTACTTTCAACGAACTGACCATACTTTGGCCCATTTTTAGGTTTGTGCCATTGTGTCTTTCCGCTCGGCCAGTTTGATTGCTGCTACTTTGGCTGGGATCTTATTGAGGCTAAAGGAAAACAAACATGTGACTCGTCTGCGGACCACAGTCGGGATTGATGGGTCCCTGTACAAAATGCACCCACAGTGAGTGAAAGAGGCTTTTCACGTTCCTCTCCATCGCTTCTCTTATTCAATGTACTTTCTTAGTGGTAAAATAATTTCTTAATCAGGTACTCTCGCCGTCTTCACAAAACTGTACGCCGTCTGGTCCCAGATTCTGATGTTCGGTTTCTTCTGTCTGAGAGTGGCAGTGGAAAGGGCGCTGCCATGGTGACTGCTGTGGCCTATCGACTGGCAGAACAATCACGACAAATTGCTCAAACGTTAGCAGAGTTTCGACTGACCACTGAACAGTTACTAGAGGTCACTTACTGTTGTACTCATGTGTGTGGCGTTTTTATTACTACACTAAAACTCACTGATGTGTGATTTATTTTTTAGGTGAAGAAGCGTATGAGAACAGAGATTGAAAATGGTTTATCAAAAAGCACTCAAGACATTGCCACAGTCAAAATGTTGCCTACATATGTTCGAAGCACTCCTGATGGCACAGGTAAGTCCTCTTGATACTCTGCAGCTGATGTCATCAACATTCCCTGGGGGTGTGATGCTAACTCAGAGCAAAATATCAATAACTCATTCAATACTGGACATTTGTGACTATTCAGCTGACTGTCTTTTCTTTAATTTGTACAGAGAATGGAGATTTCCTAGCTTTAGATTTAGGAGGAACAAATTTCAGAGTTTTGCTGGTCAAGATCCGCTCTGGGAAAAGGCGTTCAGTAGAAATGCACAACAAGATTTACGCAATTCCTCTCGAAGTTATGCAGGGAACAGGAGAAGAAGTGGGAACAATGGACAAATTATTCATTTGTTGGAAATGTGATTGCAAGCTAATCTTACAATTGATCCTTTTATCCACAGTTGTTTGATCACATCGTGCATTGTATCAGTGACTTCCTGGACTACATGGGCATGAAAAGTGCTCGTCTTCCTCTCGGTTTCACATTTTCTTTCCCATGCAAACAGAACAGCCTGGATGCTGTGAGTACAAGTTGCACAAATGTATTGTCCTTTGTTTATATTGACTTGAAATGAGACTCAGAGTGACTATCTTGACTATGACCAAAGTCCAATGTTTAAAGGTGCACTGTGAAACTTTTCTGGTGGTTTCTCCATGGAGACATTATTGCTTTGCCTGGAATGTTTCAGTTGCTCAAAAATACAGTAGTTTCTTCTGTGAATAGGGATGACTCTGCACAGGTCTCCCTTGTTATAGATTTAATAGGTTTAATCTATCCTATGGAACATTCTAGACAAAGCAATAACATTTCCATGGAGATAAGCAGCTGGTGGGCCCCCCACTAGAAATATTATGCAGTAGACCTTTAAATTAATTTGTTGTACAATAATATATATTGGTAGAGTGACAAAAATGATAAAATGTTTTATATGTGTCCTATAATATTATGTTTTTATAGGGAATACTGGTAACATGGACCAAGGGATTCAAAGCAACAGACTGTGAAGGAGAAGATGTTGTGGGACTGTTGAGGGAAGCAATTAAGAGGAGAGAGGTAAAAGTTACATATTTTAAATGAAAATAAACACCCCATAGATAATTTGTGTAATGTGAATGTGTTTTCAAGTCAAAAATAAAGATTTAGCTGAGAGAAAAGACACAAGACATTTGTCTTTAAAGGGGACATATGATCATATGATATTAAGTCAACTTTTAAGAGCTTTTAACCTGGTTTTAAAGTTTAAAAAAAGTTGTATTTAGAGTGATAAATTTTTTCTTTCTACCATGTGATAATGTATTTAATGTTGTAATTAAGATGTCTTAATCTTAATCTATTTTGACAGAAATAAAGCACAATATGTCTTCTTTAACAGGAGTTTGACCTTGATGTTGTGGCTGTAGTCAACGATACAGTGGGAACAATGATGACCTGTGCCTATGAAGAGCCAACCTGTGAGATAGGCCTCATTGCTGGTCAGTTAATAAAGTATTCCTCTTATAGTTCATTTTATTTATTCCTGTCTTCTATATTCAAAATGTGTTTCCTCTTAAAAGGTACGGGTAGTAATGCGTGCTACATGGAGGAGATGAGAAACATTGAGATGGTCGAGGGAGATGAGGGTCAGATGTGTGTCAACATGGAGTGGGGAGCCTTTGGTGACAATGGTTGTCTCGATGACTTCAGGACCGAATATGACCGCTCTGTAGATGACTTGTCTCTCAATCCGGGCCATCAAAGGTGTTTTTTTACATAATTTCTAATACATACATTTAGCAGCTCTGTTCATAAAATTTTCCTCATATTTTTATTTTATTGAATATTGTTGCTGTAATATTTGCACTGCAACTCAAATGTGTCATGTATGCAGAGTCTAGCAATTTTGTCTTGCAAGATCTTGTGGTACAACAACTTATCAGCTGCCTTTTCACTGTCAAACGCATCTGTTAAACCATTAACCTTTTACTGCCTGAAACATTTAAATGTCTGCTACTTTAATTTTAGATATGAAAAGATGTGCAGTGGGATGTATCTTGGTGAAATTGTGAGGAACATCCTAATTGACCTAACCAAAAGGGGATTCCTGTTCCGAGGTCAAATCTCAGAGACACTAAAAACCAGAGGCATTTTTGAGACAAAGTTCCTTTCGCAAATAGAAAGGTAAGATATATTTTTTACAATTTTCATTTGTTCATATGAGTATTTTCTATAACGTGGTTTGTCTCCACAGTGACCGTCTGGCATTACTGCAAGTGAGATCTATTCTCCAACATTTAGGTCTGGACAGCACGTGTGATGACAGTATCATAGTTAAAGAGGTAGTTGGTTAAAATACACATTTGCAAGCAAATACAACTCAATTGCACAACTTATTACAATCTTTTGACCCATGAATAAACAACAGATGTTGAGAAAGACACACATGTGACACTATCAGGATTTATCAGGCTTTACTTTCAAATGAGTCTTTTCATTTACAGAAATGATGCAATAGTGATAACTTTCTTTTGTTAAAGGTATGTGGAGCCGTGTCATACCGTGCAGCTCAGCTGTGTGGGGCAGGAATGGCAGCTGTGGTCGATAAAATCAGAGAAAACCGAGGACTAGACTTTCTCAACATCACTGTAGGAGTGGATGGGACTCTTTACAAACTGCACCCACAGTGAGTCTTTAACAGGCACATATTATATGATCTAAAATACATAGATGCACATAATATTTCATGGTCACAATCCTTTGTTTTTGTCCAGTTTCTCCCAAATCATGCACCAAACAGTGAAGGAGCTGGCGCCTCAGTGTGACGTCAACTTCCTGCTCTCAGAGGATGGCAGCGGCAAAGGCGCTGCCCTCATCACTGCTGTGGGCTGCAGGATGAGGAATGAAATGAACGGCAAATAAATTATTCAGTAGATGCACTGCAACCTGCCCACTAGGGAAGACTCTGCTGGAGTTCTGTTGCAATTACTGTATATTATAGAACAAGTTATATGTCAACAGCTTTAGTCCAAACAGTAGGTAAGCGCTACTTTCTTCAAAGCAAGAAGTGCAAATCTTGAGACAAAAGCAAGATTAGTTTTGTACAAATGAGTTTGATTAGTCTTTATATTTAGATTACAATGTTAGAACTTAAACATGCTCAGTTTGTGCCTGTCGTGCTTTCATGTGCACACAAGCGCCCTCCACAGGATTATTGTGGTTACTGTACTCTATGCTCTATGGTAGTAGGGCAATATTGAAAGGGCTATAATAATTAACTTGTAGAAAAAGGACAAAAATGGTGAACAAAGTCAGTACAGCAAAGGGATGTGATGTAGAAATGTACAATGAGATTAAAGGGAATATGTGTTATTCTATTCTATATATTTACACAATGATGCTATTTATTTTATTTTTGTATTTGGAAATTAATCTGTGTTACTGATGAATACTGTAAACACATTGGGCCAAAGAGGAACAAGGCATAATGCTTTTTGTCTGAATGCATTTGCTTATATTGGCCTATAGGTGGCACACTGCTCAACTTGCACAGAAAAGAGATTCAGCATGTACTGTAGCATCAATATTCCTATACTGTATTCCCCTGATATACCATTTTAAAAGGGCAGCACTACTTATAAGCCTATTCATGCAGAACACAGAATTATACAACTTCTCTCTTAAATACTGTGTGTAAGGGATACAGGAAATTAAAATACTGTTGGTGCCATGCATTTTCAAACCCTGGTCCATTGTGTTAAAACAAATGTTCTCTATGTGTTTTGTCCTCTGACTGTTAATTCAACTGCTATTTACAGCAAACGCATTGTTTTAGTGCAATCTTTGGCTTAATCCTAATGCTATGTCAAGAGTTTGCCACTTTTATTTAAAACTGTAAAAACCTTACTGATACTCGCACCTTATTCTTGCTTTTGTTCACTTAACATTTGTCAAATAAAAATCCTGTATCCATTTTATGATGACTTTGCTTTTATTGAGTTGACATGAAATTGTAAACAGATATACTTCAGTAGAATGTCATCTCACATTACGGACAAATACAAATGTAAATAATATAGTACCCATAGTAAGCCAGTTGACACTTTTCTATTAAGAAAAGACATTTTCACATCTTAAACATCCATCAAGTAAAAAGACTTCAGTGCAGCATTAACACTACCAGCAACTCAAAGACTGCCTTCATAGTGGAACACTCATCTCTTGTGTACAGTACCTAAAGGCACATCTCTCACAACTACTTCCATGGATAAAAACAAACTTAAGATCTTTTAAAATGCCATTAAAAAATTTAATGTCAGTTAATTTGCTTCTGCAGTAAAAACAAATCTTAATAGTATGAATTATTCCACTCTTATAGCATTAGTCCACATTTCTGTTTGTAGACCATTTAAGTTTTTGCCTTCACAAAAAGTTTGTATCCAACCATAACCAAGCACCCACACACATCTCATTCACAAAATTGGTTAATTCTCTTGCCCAAGAACACAACAACAGTATTCACAGGTCTAGGTGGAACACACACACTCACAAAAAAAGTTCCAACCACTGAGGCTACACATTTTAACTTTTCTTGGTGCTCTGTATCTTGGTGCAATTGTTTTTCTTCATTTGTAATACCGACTCTAGTCTGCAGTATCTGCATTGATAAAGGTTTAAATCAGGCATGTCCAAACTATGGCCCGGGGGCCAAATGCGGCCCTCAGATAAATTTTTCTTGGCACTCAGACTTCCAGGTGAATTGGCCCAAATTACCTTGCGTCAATTAAAAAATAATTTTTTACTGCAAGTTTTTTGAGAATCTACCTGGATAAAGCCGATATTTAATATTTAGTGTGTGGTTTTAAGGATCTTAGCATGGATAAAGACTGATGGCACATTCTAACGTGTTAAATATGCACAGATTTCAATTATTCCCTGTAGTGAGCATCAGTCTACGGCCCTCGATCAGCCCTCTGCATCGTCTGTGTTTAGATATGTGGCCCTTGATGAAAAAAGTTTTAAATGGACGACTCCTGATGGAGGCTGCGTGTCATTGTTAATTTGAGAGAGCGCATGTGCTGAATCTTCATTTTATCTTCCTCTGACAATCTGACAAAGGGACACCAAGCAAAAGCATGACGAAAACCAACACGAAACCTGGGGAAGCACAGTTATATTTATATATATATATATATACCAAGTGTGTGTGTGTGTGTGTGTGTGTGTGTGTGTATATATATATATATATATATATATATATACACACACACACACTTGGTCTTGGTCGGTATTTTTTTCTACTGATGTAAATAATAAAAGTTACCTCTGATTTAGACTACAATATATAATAGGATTGTACATGGTTGAACTCATGGCCAACCAAAAAATGGCAAGATACACCTGTGGACATAAGAGGAGAAAGTGACATCAGAATTATGACAGAATTATTAGTAAAGATAAACAAGTACTTTCTCTATTCTGTCATAAAAAGCTTTTGATAAAATGTGCATTGGACACATAACAGTCTCATAGCCTGGCTGGGTCAGGCAATCTCACAGAAATGGTTTTATATGACTAAATACAATGATACCTGTTGGATGTACCACTTCCTATAGATGTCTATGTTGAATGTGCCAAGTATGAAATAAATGTGATAGGGCAGCCAGCACAAAGCAAATGTTATCACTATAACAATCATCATCTTCACAACCTGTGAAAATTATTAAAGAAAATTTATTAATGTAGCAATGTAAAGGAAAAAAAAAAATGGATTGTGCGGTAAAAAGTGGGTTTAAATCTGTCACCTTTCGCTTGGATGTCATCAGATTGGGATAATGGTCAGAGGCTTCTCCAGGGATGTGTGCCCCCCACAACGAACGGCCCACCAGACTGTAAGTCACCACCATCACCAGCAGAGGAAGTAGGTAGATCAACACTATCAGTGAGTAATGGTAACTGAAAATGGAATTGACTCATTAGATGATGTGCTATAATGGTCATAAGTTTAACAACGTCATCATTTCACATGCAAGGTCATCAGAATTTGTTAGAAACAGTTACGGTTAACATTTCAACAATTAGCTTTTAGTAGACTTTTCAATCTGAATACAAAAGATGAACATCACCGTTCACAGTTTGAGATTGTATTTGGGACAGATTGGCATAATATAGGACTGGCTGATGTCATCTAGTTTTACCTCAATTGGTGAGTTCCCCCCAAGTTGTCAGGCCAGTCCACCCTGCACACTGTATTGGGGTTGTTAAAGTGGGTCACGCTGTAGTAGCACTGAGGAAAAGCCAGCAGTAGAGCAACTATCCAGATGAGAACAATAATGCCTTTGGTGGAGGTGGAGGAGAGACGGGGCTTCAGCGGGTGGATGATGGCCATGTACCTGAAAACAGACCCTGGCGTTCAGGAAATTTAATTTAATCCCGTGCATCATGGTTTTCATTTGTGACAGAGGGAGTCAGTCTAGTGTTATTTATGATGTCATTATGTGGATTCTCTTTCACAATTTTCTTTTGCCAGCTGCAGACTGTCTTTAAAAACAGGTATCATGATAACATAACCACAATTTGTTCAAATTTGAAAATAATGAAAAATTTAAGCAAGCAGATTTTCTACTAGGAGTAAGCTCTTGCACAAAGATCATTTAAGTTACAAGTCACTGGACTTCTGTATATAAGTATATGTTCTAATAAAATGTCATGTACCAAACCCTCATCAGTTTATCAAAACATTTTTCATGGAAGACAAACAAATTTTATGTCATATACTGTGGAAGATTATATACAAAGAAACAACTATTCCACGGAAACAAGCAAGAGAAAACCCTCTTCCACCCCAAGTAAGACCCAGGTTTGTTGAGCTCATTCAGAGTAAATTTTTCAGTGCAATAAACACAACCAAAATAAAAATATATTTTTAAGTATCAAGGGATAAGTGTCCTAAATACTGCTAAAGTTAAATGTTATAAAAACTTTATAAATAAAAATAGACTAGACCTACTCACCTATCCACTGCAATGACAGCCATGGTGTAAATGGATGAAAACATGGCAGTAATTGGAAAGAAGTTTTGAAACCTGCAATAGACCAGGCCAAAGTACCAGTCATTGTAGAGACCATATATAAAGTTAAAAAGGGTATTGAAAGTTGCCATAAAAACGTCAGAGAAGGCCAGGTTGACAATGAAGTAGTTGGTCACTGTCCTCATGCGCCTGTGCGCCAAAATGATCCAAATGACAGTGACGTTCCCAGTCACAGAGACCAGAATGATGAAGGAGTAGGCAATGGACCACAGAGCTACCTGCACATAGGACAGAAATAAAGGAATGGAAAAGAAAGCATATAGCAATGGAGCAACATGACGAGTAGGCCTATACATATGCACATCTTGAAATGTCGAATGACATCATTAATTGCAGCATACCTGCCAGACAGGTTGGTGGAATTTATTTCGACTTATCCCAGTCCCATTAATTCGCCAGGTTGTAGTCTCTAATAACGGGCCTGGTGTGACCTCTGTATCTTGTTGAACATGTTGAGTAAGATTTTCAACATCCATCTTTCTGATGTTTAGCTGATGGGAAAAGCCTCTAATTAATATAACTGACTATTTTGTGGGAAAGTCTGAATAAAAATAAATAATACATAATTGCAAGAAAGTACAGTGGGCAGGCATAAGGGGTAAGTGAAAACTGAAATTTTGTGCACATTTACCGTAAAGACTATGCCCCCTTTAAATCAAGTCACTAAGGAGGTTTCTTTGTGATTTAAGATGTATAAAATAACCTAAAGTTGTCTGGAATGGAGTTTAAGCAATTTGGAATAAAAAAAAAAAAAAAAAAGGTCCAGAAGAACGTTTTATGGTTAAATCCCAAAGTGTGGAAATCCACAAACACGCCCATAGAAAAAGTTATTATTATTATTATTATTATTTATATATAAAAAGCACTCACTCCTTCATGGTCTCCCCGTGGACTGGTCCAAGCTACAGACGCGGCAGTAGCGTGTGCGCGTGGAGCTGCGGTGCCAGCGCAAATTAAACTGGAGCGGATTCAGTTTTAAAGCCCTGGATGTCATCGGTGTCCAAGGCAATAATTTAAATAACAGCCTAAGTAATTAATAAGCCTACAACTAAGACCATGCCTGATGTCAATAATTTATGTCAACAAATCCTTTATAACCTATATTTTTGAAGCAGCGTGACCACTAGAAAACTTCAAATTTCAGACACCACATTTTGTTTTTAACAGATAACAGCGACAGTTGAATCCCGTTCAGATAATGTAAAACTTACAAATAGGTGCACGTCGGACCAGCAGACTTGAATTCTCGTGGACAGAAATGACAGAGCAGAAGCACTCCGTAGTAGGAATTTATCGTGAGCCCTCCCACGAGTTCTGACGAGGATGAGTCTTGATCAGGGCTGGTGCGCATCCATACGTGCGCTCCAATTTAAGGAGTCATGTGACAATACAATCACGTGATTCAAAGAACAAAAACATATTGTCCTTACAATTAGATCAGAGTAGGCAATCAATGTCAACAGCCCACCTCTCCCCCTTACAATAACAGAGCCACTAGTTGGAGAAAACTGGGCACCTTCATATATAGGCCTAAATCAATTTTTTCACATTTCAGATTTAATGTAGGCTACCAATATGCTCATTAAATTGGCGGTGCAATAATAATCACAGAAGGTAGCCCCTCTATAGACCTATTCATAAGTCTTACGGTAGGAATTTGATATTAGTAGATTCTAAAAAAGCAAATAGGTAAAGTATTGCACAGCTTTTGTCCAAACAGTTTGTAAACAGGGGGAACTACAGAAAGGATGAAGAGATCACCCCCTTATTAAGAGCAGGGCGGCGGTTTGCCCTCAAAGGCCCTAGACTATATTTATTTAAAAAAAAATTTTTTTTTTAAATGTCTCTTTGGAGCAGGTGTTTTTAGGTTTTTTTTTTTTTTTTTTAGATCGCTGTGATTCTCTGGGGAAATCTGTGACTTAAGCTCACCATACTGTCTTTTTGCCAGTTGTGTCAATACACATTAGGCTACATTTGTGTGCCCAGCACGTGCGTATTGATAGCAAGCTATTTAAAGACAGAGTTTGTTTGAGAAAGGCTAATTTAATAAAGAAAAGTCTATCTTCCCACAGCCCACTGAACAAAACCACCTGTTTACACAGCAAATTCAAAAGTGTTAAATTCATGGTGTTGTTGTTGTGAGTAAAGTGAAGAAAATCCAGATATTTCAACTAGTGCTGTCATGCGATTAAAAAAATTGAGAGATTAATTAATTATGATCTGTAATTAATTAATCTAATTAATCTCTTTTTAATCTCACCTAAAAATTGCTGAGAAAAGCCTTCAATTTGAGGTATTTTCATTTAAATTCATTATTACATTATTGTGGCAGATCAAAAGACTGATACAGAACAAAAAAAAGTGACTTTATAAAGTAATTTATTGTTTAACAAACTTTAACAGATGCAGTCACTTACATTCCACAGTATCATCATTATTATTACTATTACTAATCTGCAGTGTTGGGAAGGTTACTTTTAATATATATTCCCCTACAGATTACAGATTACAAATCCCAAAATGTAGTTTGTAACTTAATTCATTTAATTACTTAAAGTGAGTAACATAATTTGAATACTTTGGATTACTTGATATTGTCATGCTTTTTAAAACTACATGAATGTAGCAACCGCACCCTGCAAATGTTGTTCTTGTTTGTTCTCTTCAAATTGGCTGTTGAGCCCAAGTCTCCATGAATAAGAAACTGTTTGCTGTAAAGTAGCAAAGATGAGGAAATCTGAACATAATAACTTTTGTCTACTTAAAGACAATAAAAAGTCCAGTCTTTCCTTAACCATATTAAAAATATTATTGATAGAGAAATGCTTTATATATGAGATCACTGGTTTTAGTCCTGGTTTTAGTCCTGCTTTAGTCCTAGTTTAGTCCTGGAATGGCTTAGTCCTGGTTTTAGTCCTGGTGTTAGTTCTGGTTTAGTCCTGGTTTAGACCTGGTTTTAGTTCTGGTTTTAGTCCTGGTTTAGTCCTGGTTTAGTCCTGGTTTTAGTCCTTGGTTTTAGTCCTGGTTTAGTCCTGGTTTAGACCTGGTTTAGTTCTGGTTTAGTCCTGGACTGGGTTAGTCCCGGTTTTAGTCTTGGTTTTAGTTTTGGTTTAGAGGCTCACAGGAGGAAGCGCGGTTTACGTAGCGTACACAGCGCACGGGAGGACAGCGGTGTCTGCGCAGTAACTATGGAAGGAAACGTGGTCAGCGCGTTCTCAGGTTAATGACGATGATGAAGATGTGTGTTTGTTTGTGTGCGTGTCCCCTCATGTGGCAGGTCACTATAAGACAGTAGTGCAGACATCATGAGCCTATGCAGGTTGTTTTCACTAATGACATTTACATTGTAGGCGATTTTATATTTGTTATTTTCTTTTATATTTCACGTCAGGAGGATAATTTCCAAGACACGAATGTGTTTTTACCTGTGCACTGCTGCCTCTGTTCTACTGGCTCTTCAACCTCGTCCATTGTGCGACTGACGCCGCCAACATTAACATGATGTTTACATCGCTTTTACTGTGCGCGTTTTGTGTGGGTTTCCGGCAATGAGTGGAATTACCGAAATAAAAAAAAATTATAAATGTGTTTTTTGTGTGTGTGTGTGTGTGTGTGTTGTCCCAACAACACATAAAAACAGATTTTATAATAAAGCAACTCACATACAGAAACAGTAAAGTTAGAGATTAAAAATGAGATTAACGCGATTAAAAAACATAACGCGCTAAATATGACTGTAATTAATTAATTGCAATTAACGCGATAATTTGACACCCCTAGTTTCAACATAGTCAAGAGTTATTTCAACTATGACAGTGCTGTAGAGTAAAATAAATAGTTGTTGAATTGCAATGTTAACGTCAAAAACTTAGAAAGTGTCTATTTTGAATATTACACTACATCAGTGTTGGACTTTTGTAACGTTTCCAGCGGGAGAACTATAGTCCGAGAGAGAAGCCACATTTTGCCGTCCTAAAATAAGCTAAGAGCCATGGATCTATTAAAATAAGAGCTAACAGCATAAACCTAACAGCTAATAGCGTTTGTTTTTCAGCAGAACCTGAACTCAACGAGCCTCAAGTCCAACCACCTTAGCTCTCACATGCCCTGGGTCAGTTCATTTAATTCATAAAAACACTAAATATAATTGGTCTAATGCTAGTAGTAGTATTGAGTAGTAGTAAGCTAACTAAGTTACCTGTGACAGTCAATGTTGCTGTCACTGATGTCGATGTGTAAAGGGTGGTACCACGGGGTGTTGCTGCTGGGCCAAGTTGGTTGCGTGCACGGGCAAGAGGGTCCGGGGGGTGTCAGTTTCCGTGGGTGGCCAGGTAGACTGCTGGACCCACCTGTGCGTGCGTTTGGCCAAGGATACTGGTGGGTTTTTAAATGTTTTGTGTGTGTGAGTGAATGAGACTGCATTTTTTAAATGAATTGTGTGTTAGGGCGGCCACGCTGTTTTAAAAACTCAACGGCGCTACGGGGGAGCGGTGTGTGGGATTTTCGACACAGGTAGCAACATTTTAAAATCGTTTTTAAATTATTAAAGTTTACCAAGCCCGTCTGTTTTTGGTAATTTTGGATTTTTGTGTTTTTATAGTTAGCCATTGTCCCTCATGTCCTGTAGTTTGGTTGTTTTTCAGGTCACTTCCCTTTTCCCGAACTTGTCCATTCATGTTAAATAAATAACCTAAACTGCACCACGGCTCCGGATTTTTATTACCGCGGCTATACCACATGAAAATTTGGTAAAATAGCCACAAAATGTATTAAATTTTGAGTAATGAAAGAGTAATAAAAAAATATTTCTCAAGTCTAAGTGTAACAAACAGGCTGGTTTGTTACCCTAGAACCACACTTAGCACCTTCACCCTTCTCTAGAGCACTTTAAAACACTGCACTTTCCTAGCACACAGCACTTTTAACATATTTGCACATCACAAAATAAATTGCACACAATTGGTTTTAAAAAAATATTTATTGGCTTTCCTTTAACCATTTTTTATTCCTGAGGCACAGCACTTTAATTGGAAGTTTCTTGTCCCTGGAGGAAAAGGGAGACAATAACAAATTACATTTTAAATTGACTTTGTGCAATAAATATGGTGCAATATCTGTTTTAGGACCACGTGTAACATTTTGTACAGGGGTTTTAGGTTAGGTGTTTTATTGGTTTATGGGTTTTAACATTTAATTGGTGTAATTGTTTTAGGGTTTTATGTATATAGTTGGTGGTTTTAATAGTTATCTGGGTTTTGGGTTGTTTTATGGAGGTTTAGGTTTTAGTTTTACATAAAAGGCGCCTTCAAGATCAGTCTGTGTTCGGCTGCTGGAGAGGAAACTGCTGCCTGCCTCCGTTTTGCACCCTGCACTTTTGGCACTTGCACTTTTGTAATCATTGAAAAAACAAAAGTAAACTGTGGACCACAAGTACCGGTCTGTGTCTGGATTTGTTTTTTACCTTGCTCACTGAACCCCAAGCCGCTCACGGTCAGCCGACGTTACACTAAGTAAAAAATAGAAGTCCAAAAAATTTGTTAAGTAGCTAAAAGTAAAAGTGTTTGGAGAAACTACTCCTTTAGTAACTTAAGTTAAAAGTACCTGGATGAAAACATCTGATTTGTCATTTAATCCTCACGCTCTCTTCGGGGTCACATAGACCGGAAGAAACTTTTTTTTTTTCCTTCCCGCTCTCTTGGGGCTGGTCAATCAGACCCAAAAAATTATTTTCATTTATTTTCTCGCCAGGCATAAAATAATGTCTCCTACATTTATTTCATTGTTGTCACCTGTTGTCCGGGATTTACATGGTTTTACGTGGTTTTACGGCGCCTGCCATTCTGCCATTCTCCGTCTGTACTCTGAGAAAGAAGCCACATTTCCCAGCTGAAGCTAAGCTAAGAGCTAATAGCGTTTGTTTTTGAGCAGAACTGAACTCAACGAGCCTCAAGTCCAACCACCTGAGCTCTCACATGCCCTGGGTCAGATTACTTTACCTCTTTAGGACACTCTGCAGTTAATTTAATTAATAGAAATACTAAATATATTTGGTGTAATGCTAGTAGTAGTATTGAGTAGTAGTACGCTAACGAAGTTACCTGTGACAGTCAATGTTGCTGTTGTAACCAAAGAAAATTTTATTTTTGTTTTTATTTTGAATTTCACCAAATCCTTCACTTTAATTCAATTTCCATTGTTATTTCGTGGTTTTAGGCAGGTTTTAGCCTCTTTCCCAATGTTATTATTATGTTAGTAAGAGTTGCGCATTTTACCTGTACTGTCCCTTTAAGAGCAACGTGGTTTGCGTGCTGCACATCTGCACCCCTC